ACTGTGGCAACAATCGATCGATTGGGATGAACCCCTCAATGAACAATTTCAACAAGAATGGCTCAAATTAGCTGTAGATTTGTTTGCAGCTCAGCAAACCATTATACCACGTCGATACCATTTAACGCCCACGGTTTCCCAGAACACACCACAACCCCATGTTTTTGTCGATGCGAGTAAACTAGCCTACGGTGCAGTGGCATACCTTCAACAACATTCTCAAGTTGCATTTGTTATGGCAAAAACACGTGTTGCTCCCATCAAAACATTGACAATGCCTCAATTAGAACTTATGGCAGCCTTAATTGGTGCGCGAGTAGCCTCATTTATTTAAAACGCAATCAAGAATCGTTATAACGCCCTAGAAGTTCACCTATGGTCCGATAGCCAAATCGTATTACATTGGCTAAGTAGCAATAAACAACTCAAACAATTGCAAACCGTGTAAGATCTATCAAATATTTATTTCCTTCCAACATCTGGCACTACTGCCCAACAAATGAGAATCCCGCTGACTTCCTAATACGCGGTTTCACTATGACCCACATGCATTCATCAACGTTATGGAACAATGGACCATCGTGGCTCACCTTACCTGCAGTAAAATGGCCTGCCTGGACACCAACAACTACACTACTAGTCGAAGCCGATCAGCAAGTACGAGAAAACGAACCAATTCAAATGGAAGACCCGTCAACCCTAAGCTTCTCAGGTGACACCGGTATACATAATGTTATTGATATATCGAGATACAGCAGTCTGACTACCTTGATCCATATTACCGCCTATGTTCTCAGATTCATCAACAGCCTCATCAAGCGAACTCCTAAGCGAACTGGGACACTAACTGTTAGTGAGACCAATGCAGCCGAGAACCTTTGGATACAGTGTTGCCAACACACAACCTACCCTGCAGAGCTTGTTAACCTAACCACAAAGAACAGTTTGCGCCTACTATTAGTAAAACAGCTATGATTATTCCTTGACCAACACCGCATTATCCGCTGTGGCGGACGAATCCACAACGCTCCCATCAACCAATCACCAAGTTCCCTATTTTGCTACCTGTAGATCACCCTTTCACCACCTTGATCATCCACTCTATTCACACTGCCCAACTACATTCTGGTGTAAATTCAACTTTAACTGCCCTTCGTGACCGATTCTGGATCCCACGAGCCAGACAAGTTATCAAGAAACTGCTGCGCAAATGTGTCGTGTGCTGAAAACAAAGTGGCAAACCCTATACAATCCCAGATCCAGCACCTTTACCTAAATGGCGAGTTCAAGACTCAACACCGTTTTCAGTCACTGGCATAGAATTCACAGGTGCACTTTTCGTGAAAACACCAACCAAAGAAGAAAAGGTTTATATTTGTCTATTTACGTGTGCGGCTACACAAGCCCTGCATTTGGAAGTCGTTGAAGATCTAAGTGAAGAAACATTCCAGAAAGCCTTTCACAGATTCGCAACCACAATGGTTCAACATATCTCTCGCCCACGGAGGGAACTCAAACGTCTCTTTCAATCCACATCGCTAAAGGAAGCATTTAAGAGGAGATTTTTTACAAACTCGCGTAATTTTTGTCAAAAACGCTCAAAACTTAGTAACCAGGCTTTTGCTACTAAGGGCCAAAAACCCGGGAGCTTATACCCGGGTTACGGCGAACTGCAAGTGAGCGATACTTCAAAAACGTTTTGGCGGGAAAAAATATAACAGCAAAAAGAAAGCATTAAAGACAAAAAAGTTTAAGTGAAAAGGTTAGTACAATTATTCTTTATTCCATATTAAATTCTGGTTCAAAATTCTATGCTAAAAGTGTAATTTTTTGTGAATTGCGACAGGTCAAAACGTACGCTATGCCTATGGCCTTTTAAATAACCTTGCCCTTGGCCTTAATAATGTTGCCAATAACTGTTAAAATTGAAATAAAATATACAGAAAAACGCATTTAAATACGCTTTATAATATATCGCAGAACGACTGCATTGAATAAAAGTAAAATGGACTTTAAATACACTCTTTTTGTGATATTTTCCCCGTTTTCAACAGCTATATTCCTAGGTAAACAAAATGTTTTGTTTGTTTTAAAAAAACCCTTTTCAATACTAGTACTACACTGTCTGACAGAGTTTTTTAAAAACAATATTCATAGACCAAATTGGCATTCAAGTGAAGATGGAAGGCGAAGTTCCTTCAACTTCAACTGGCAGTGTTATAGAAATAAAGGTAGTGTAAGTTTATGTTTCCTAGGTATTAGTATAATTAGAAATTTATTTCCTTGCTAGTATGGGATACCCGGTGTTTAATAATACAACATTAAACAGGGCAAAAACGTCTCTACACGATTATAAATCCTTCATGAAGTTGTAAATCTATAAGCATAAAACTGGGCCTGAAGTAATTTTCAATTTGGATTCGCGAGTTACCTCCAGCATTTTTAAACAAGAATTCATAGTTTACTGGTACACATGTCGTAGCCTAGCTATCTAAATAAATACGTGTCTATGGCTAGACCCAGAGGGCTAGACCATGCACTTTCATTATGATTTTTATACTAGGCAAACATATATTTATAAATTATCAATACACACAAAAGTGAGCACAACACGCCAAAACATCATGAAAGTTTTGACAGGTATTTCCGTATACTTTATACAACAGAATAAAAGTTTGAAGGCGCTGTATGGGAAAAATAAAGCATCAGCAAAAAAGATTCAAGCAGCGAAAATGTTTGGAAAAAGCCATTCGAACATAAAGTGTATTGCCAAGGCTCTACAAGTGGAAATTCCAACAGCCGAAGTATACCTAATTGATGCCTATTGTGCTGGAGCTCCAATGGTATCAATAGAAAAGCTATCTAGTGAATTGAACATTCACAGTCATCTTACCAATACGATTGCTCGTCTAATTGAACAGGGTTTACCGACTCTTCGGCAGATCAGAGATGCTCTCAATCGAAAAGTTTCATACAACCAGATCAAAGTGGTTTTAGCAGGCATGATCAGAGACGAACTTGACAGAATTATGTAAACGTGCAAGATTAAGGACCAGCAAAAAAGTTTTACATACTTAAATGTTCAATCATAAATATTTTATTTCCTTTAAACGGTTATACAGTAAGAGTAAATATATTCTTTCAGAAGCTTTTCCTTACGCATATATTTGCTTGTTCACGAGTAAACATGATCGGATCGGATCAATTTTGAAATGCAAATGCAGACATATTTCATTATTTGAATCGAACATTGTGTTGTGTAGTACTAGCGAACAGTTGCTTTTTCAGTTTCAATCGTAATTTTAAAACAACAACGACAAATAAAACAAACGATTTAAGCTGGCTAGTGCACATTTTTCAAAGAGCAATTCCCAAATCTTTCATACGAAAATAAATAACATATATAAACTTTCGCCTACCTTCTCAGTTCTCTTGTTTTTGCGAAGTATGCATCAATATTATGCAACCAAGTATTCTTGAATTAACGTCAGGTATTGTTACTGTATTATTCTTGTGAACCGAGTTTTGATTTTATGATACAAATCACCAGATAAGATTATTTTCCAGAAGAAATATAAAGATCGCTTCTTTTTGCTTCTTCCCCTCATGTTTTTCAAAAAAGAATGATTGATTGATTGCCTCGATATCATGCATGTAAATATATTACCCCGTATGTTAAATTGTGCGCATGCTCATAACCAAACATCGTTCCTGTTCTCACTAAAAAAGCCAAAAAATGCAGAAAAAATATTTGCATTTTATTGTAAAATTTATTTTCCAATTTCTATTTACATTTTCTCTCTCCAGAATAACAAATACTAGGCTTAACAAAATATTGAGTCGTGGAGGCCATTAGTTTAAAAAAGACATTCTAAGATTTCTAAAAGTATTGCACATTCACAGTAAAAGTGGTAGAGAGGTTCTCAAAAATACATAGACTCAAATAGCAACATTTATTCCTGCATTGAGTCCAACTCTCAAATACGCCCACCGTCTCCAATAAGCTACTTAGACTAGAGCCTCTTTTTTCTCCTACCCTCAAACGTAAAAAGCACCTCGCGGGGTGGGACCAAATAAAGAGAACACGATTTGGAAAATATAGATCTGCAAGTTCAGCAGATAGGAATGAGTGACATTTCACTGTGTTGGTTTGGGGCTAGCCACCCCCCCCCCCCCACACACACACGCAAGCACACACACATACAACTACACATACACATACACATACACATACACATACACATACACATACACATACACATACAGAGTCATGCATTTTACACATAGTGAGCTCCTCCCTCCCAATACGAATTTGCTTTCGACGGCCATGGTTTAGATTGTGCACTTAAAATCATTAGCCAAGGCCCTCCGACAAAAGGCCGAACTATTAGGCTGCCCGCATGCAGGCTACATCGTATGATTCAGATTAGTGCACTATATTCAGTGTGCCAATTGCAATACGTCCGACTCCGAAATCCTTTGATGGGATATTATAAAAGCTAAATTTTGTACAATAAGCAAAAATTATCACACAAAGTTTATAAGAGAGAATCCACAAGATTTCCCTACTAAGAACTTAAGAAATGTGGAAATGTGTGACTTTAGGGCAATTTTCGGCATGCATGCGGGTCTGCGTGAACAAAATTTGAATGCGGGACACTTGGCAGATCTGAAAAGAAATACATGAAATACGATCGCCTTTTTACCGCGTGTTTTCAGATTCAATTGGTTGCTTCTAATTTATAACTTCTGTATCTATTTATAACCCGTTTGCTAATTTTTTGCGCATGCTCATTGTCAAAAATTGTTTATGAAATGGTCTTAGCTAACGAGCGTTTTAAGCATCACTTTATCTGCTATTCTCTATCTAGGGCTCTGACGACGTTGCACACGAAAATCAGAAATGTGTTCTATGTAACAACAGCGTGCACGTAGAAAAAACTAGGCGAATTACGGAAAATAATTTTGCTACACTGGGCATTGCAACAGCAGATCTGGAAATGTTCAACGGCTCTCAAGTGTGTACACGATGCTGGCTGTCCAGAATGGTAAAGAGTCGTGAGAAAGTATGCCCCATTAATGGTTGTACCACTCCCAAACGAAAGTTGCAGAGGCTGTATGCATTGCCATTAGGTGAATTAGATGCAGAATGTTCCCAAAATGTCCTACAAAAGTTCCAGGTTGCGAAAGAAGATAAGGTGTGCAGAAGATGCAGAACCAATATCATATCTTACATCGAGAGAGAAAAACGTCAGACGCCATTATTGTCTCCACCTACAATTCCTTCCACACCAAACGTACAAAAATCCTTCTCTTCGGGAAGACCACGCGTGAGATATTCAGAGGCAAGTGCGGCGACAAAAAGGCGAATGAAGGCGTCGGCAAAAAATATGTTGTCCGGGGTGATACGCGACTGTGATGATATTTCTCGTGGCGAAGGAGTACAGCTAGTACAAGATGCTATGGGAAACACGGCTCTTAAGAAGGACACTTCCGAGAAAGAAAACAACATTAATGTTCAGAATATATTTGAAGGCATATCGGACACATACGAAAAAGAGAGCCATGGCCCTGCAGGAAAGATCAGATTACTAAGCTCGATTGCACCGCATTTTAAAAATAAAGAAATAAAAAAAGCAATCCCTTGCACGGACTACGAGTTAACGGAAGCCCGAAAGCATGCTCAGTTATATGGTCCAGGAGCTACACCTCCCCCCGCAGAGAAGGTCAAGAGATATCGAATTCCACCAGAAGATCTTGCCTTCGTTTTGAATTTCATCCACCATCCAGACAACACTTGTCGATCATCCCACAGAATGGCGTCATGTGAAGGATCAAAGTCGTCTTGGATCTCCGACATGTTTGAAAACGATCAACAACCTGTAATGTGGCTAAAGGATGGACAACTTCATTTGTACAAGAAATATAGAGAAGAGTGCGAGAAAGAAGGAAGAAAGCCAATATCCGAATCGAAGTTTCGTGATGGATTGAGCGCCGGAAATTTTAAAGAGATGGCTAGAATGACTGGATTGTGCAACATTTGCGACGAGGTTGGCGCTCAAAATTGGAAGAAGTTGTTCGAATTGATTGAGATGCTTGGGAAAGAGATCAATGGGGATACAACCAGTGTTGAGGACGAGCAAGAAGATGAGTTTGAAGACGAAGACATTGACCAGACAACAGTTACAATGATTGATATAACCGATCAAGATGACAAATACAAGCAACACAACCCTCTTCCAGTTGATTGCCCCGTACTAATGGTCGAAGTTAATCCACACATAGATCAACTCGACAATTTAGTGAAGAAATGCAAGATCCTTAAAGGACATCTCCTGTCAAAATTTTCATCCGAGCTTCAGCAACATTCTGCATGTCCCTTCCACTGTATGGAACTGCTACTTAACGAAAAATCATCTTGCAAAAACCACCACGAAATTTGTCAAGAGTGTATTCAGAGGTTCACGCTTTTTGACGACCTGTTAGCAACCATAAATGTAAGTTCTCTCAACGCCACGCGCAAAAAATACTACCGAGAGAAATTTATCATTTTGCAAAGAAATTTAGATCTGTACATCGCTCATCTTGTTCGTGGTAAGCACCAAAGAACACAGTTTATGAAAGATATCGAAGAACTTAAACCTGGACATGCATTAGTCGTATGCGACTACATGATGAAACTCCTGTTAGAGAAATTTAGAGAACCACAACGAGATTGGTATGGTAAGAAAGGTGTTTCAGTCCACGGAAGTATGTTTTTCATCAAGACAAAAGAATCAGGAGAGGACATAATGGTGGAAATACACGACGTATTTTCAAACGGTGATTGCACACAAAACTGGTATTTCTCAGCAAGCGCTTTTGAGGCCACTTTTAAAAATTTTTCTGCAAGGCATGAGGATGTTACATCACTCGTCATATGGTCAGATAACGGACCACATTATCACAACACCTCTATTATTTTCTGGTTAAGCCGTGCTTCAGAGCTTTGGAACATGGACATTGTGCGATATTCGTTCTTTGAAGCCCAAAAAGGGAAAACGTCCCTTGATTCGCATTTTGCAACATTTAAATTTGCGTTGAAATCTTGGATGAAAAAGGGTAACGACTTACTAGACAGTGCAGACATTGTTGATGGAACGACAGATAACTTAAAAGGAACGCATGTGTACGAAATACACATCAACAGATATAACGAGCCACAAAGCGCAAAAACTCTGGACGGAATAACATCATTTTCAGATTTTACCTTTGTCAAAAGTCCAAAAGAAACACACAAATCGGTTGTTGCAAGAGAATTGACTGATACGGGTACAACAATGACAATAATTCCTAAAAAAATTTCAAAGTTATGGCCGTCGTACATAATAACAAGCTCTTCCTTGTCAACTGGAGTTACTTCAGAATACGACCAAAAACTATCAGAGAATGTCAAACCAAGATACAATACAACAACACCCAAGAAGAAAAAAACATCCGGCTTGAAAGAAACCAACAGAGGGATGGTGCAAAGTAATGCAAATAAAACAAAGCAATCATCAAGCAGATGTCCTAAATGCCAAAAGTTCTTTCTTCGCAGAGGATGTATGTTAAAACATGTTGCTTCATGCACAGATGCTAAAGAATCCAAATGGAAAACATTGGACGAACTAAAAACTTCGTTCCCTCTGGTACAAGCAATGGGGCTTCTTAACAGTGCAAGAGCTTTGAATGTCAGGAATTTGATCAGCAACAAGGATAATAACGAAACTGAACCAAATCCTCTCTGGTGTTATCTGTTAAAAGGTAGTGGTAAGAAAGTGAAAGTTGGAAAACGTAATTGTTTTACTGAACAACAAAAAGAAATCATGAAAGATTGCTTTGATGTTGGTGAAAAGGATAAAAGAAAACGTTTTACCACCCAGTCCTGTCAAAGATTAATGGAGGAAAAAATAGGAAAGGAACTTACTCTTAGCACACGCCAAATCGCTAGTTTTTGGAGTAATTACAAAAGAAAAAAAAACACTTAACCATGTTTAACACCAGCCAAATAAAACATTTCATACCGTAAATCTCCGAATACAAGCCCCTCCCCGAATATAACCACCATGTGTATAAGCCTGCCACGTTTAATCTAATGCCAGACATCTGTCTAATGCGAGGAGAGAGCCTTGCGCTTTAATGGATTAACCACACAATTTGCCCATGTGTCTTGTTAACCCATTAAGCTGCAATGCACCCTACCTTATTCATTTACTCTGTCTAATTCCAGACAATTTTACTTGTCAAGGGGAAAGTTGTGCGCTCTAATGGGGTAATAGATTATTATTATATAGTGTTTATTAATAACTGCATGTGTATGCCCCCCTTAAAAAAACTCCCGCATGTATGTATAAGCCCATCAATAAAGCTTTATGAAAAGAATATTTTTATAAGCCCAGGGTTTCTATTCGGAGGTTTACGGCATACTGTACATGCAAATTAATCCAATAATCTATTTCTTTAAAATATTATTGAGAATTACAGTAGTAGCTAAATGAGTTACCCTAAATTAACAAGGAACAGTCGAAGATAGTTAATTTAATTCATTAATGTTTAAGACTAACACCAATTTTAAGCCCTTGGCAAACTAGGAAACATTGTTTCCTGCCAATGTTTTGCCTTGTTTCCCAAGGTGGGCGAACAGAGAAACAATGTTTCTGCAACAAAGATCACACTTGGGAAACGTCAAATGTTTCTGAGTTTGGTATGAAACATTTATGCTTCCGGGGAAGCAAAAATTGTTTCCGCAACTGTTTACAATGTTTCCACGGGTGGGCAAAAAAGGAAACAATCAAGGAAACATCAAGAATCACAAATGTTTCCACAACAATGTTTGCTAGTTTGTCCAGGGCTTTAGAGTATACCATACATGTAAATTGTTACAATGCATAATTAATATGTGTAAAATACACAATAACAATTCTTTCAAATGTACAAATGGTGCAAAATTGGAGTATACCATTACCAATAAGATCACCTTGTCAGAAGTTTGATAAACATGCAGGAAGTGTCAATGCAAAATCCTCTTCCACTGAGATTTTCACTCAACCTTTGAACGCTAATTGTTTTGTTCAAATGTTTGAATATTTAATTAAACAAAACATTTTGTCATACCATAATGCATGTTGTCAAGGCCATTTGCGAATGTTGCCAGGGTGCTGTCAGGCATTGAAGGTGTGATAGCAATGCCTTTTACATTCAGCCATTCAGATAACGTTTTAACATCCCCTCTAAATGCCTGGCAGCGCCTACCCTGCGAGGCAGAGGTTTGTAATTCCCCAAGCTGAATAAACCTCTGCACAATGTCGTAGAGTTCTTTGACCAGCCGCTGTCCACAATCGTGGACGGGAAAATACCAGTCGGGAAAATACCAGTTTAAACTTGATTTGAACCAGTTTGAAATTCATGCATGTCATTTTGATAATACTGCTGCAGTTAAATGGGTTTATAATTTTATTGTCCAGTCAGGTGAGTAGTTTTCAATTAAACATCAGAAATTTGTTACTCAACTGTCAATTTATAAAACATAAACAAGATATCCGAACAAAGGTCATTGGCTCATTGTAACAAAATATATTAAATATATTTCAAAAATCATTAATAATTCATAAGCATTTTAGCCTATGAAATCAACCATAATAAGTCACATGTGGTGGCTTTATACATGATAATAAATTATAATGTTTCATCCTAATTAGCATTACAATGCGGCGTATTTGAAGTCATTTAGAACACTCAAACTCGCGTTTTATCATATCTAAAATGCTTGGCTGCGCCTCGCGTTTTAATATGATAAAATGCTCCTCCTCATGTTTTAAATACTACTTGTTTAATTACAAAGGTTTTAGGCTAAGTTTTGAATATTAATTAACCCAGATTTGTTCATTTTATCGCCCAGATTTGTCCCTTTTACTGAAATATAATTGCGATCTTGCAATATACTTGCACATAATTGACATTTAAGCAATTCCAAATTGAAAATTGTGACTACGCAAACTAGCAAAGTTACATTAACTTCCGCTTAGTGGCGTTTCTATCAGGTCTATTATAGCTTGGAGCATTATAAACCTCTGCCTCACAGGGTAGACAGCACCAGGACAACATTCAAAAATGGCCTTGACAACATGGTGCCACCGCCTTGACAACATACATTATGTGACGATAAAACTTTTCGTTCAAATGTTCAAACATTTCAACAAACCAATTGGCATTCCAAGGTCAAGTGAAAATCACAGTAAATGAAATTCTGTGAAATCTTCTATCCTAAAAGGAAAACACAACATAAGTATTATATACAAACCTCAAAGTATAATAACTAAGATTTAAACCATTCAGGATTAGTCACAAAAGCAAAAAATTACAGTTGGACAACTTTTTGTAGTAAGTAATGGATATATTTTACCACAGTTTGCAAAACATCATAGAGCCACCTTAATATAATGTCATGAAATTGAAACAAGGAAAGCCAATAAAAATGGCTAAATTCTGCGAGGACCTCCCACCCCGATTTTCTTCAAAATTCAATATTTTAGCCTACATTACGTATTCTTTCCTCACAATAAAGCTTACGACTGTCGCACACACAGTTTAGGAAAACTATTGGATTTTTACATCCAACCTCTAAATATTTGCTCCCATTTCAGACTTTCAACCAATGTATCATAATCAATATTCCAATATTTTTCTTTTCAACTTTTCACAAGTTCCATTTCCCATTCTAATACTACTATTGGTATCTATAGATGCTGTGTTTTTTATATTTTGAAAGCTAACAACAAATTTACTTATTTCATAGTAGAAATAGAAACCTATATCATTTTTTGTAAACAGTTGGCAGAATGGCTGACTTGAGGTCAAAACATAAAAAATATTGCGAGGACCTCCCACTCCGATTTCTTTCAAAAATTGTGATTTAAACCTTCACTAAGTCAACTAAACATCCAATAAAGCTTACAAGTGTCGCTCACACGGTTGTATAGAAAATCGAATTTTTAGGCAATTGTTATACTTTTGAAATTTGTTGTCAAAATGGGGCAAATTTTATACAAATGTGTCAACCAAAATTGACACTTATTAGTCGATTATTCTTTGTACAGGCATCAAATTATGTCACTTTATATCGAGAATATCCAGCTACGTGACTATATAAAAATTATTGAGATTCATGCACGATTGAAGCAGTAATATGATAAAATATACACAGCAACCATAACTTCCATGGGCAACAAGGGAAAATAAACAACTTCTAGGAAATAAATTGCCAATGATTGAGGATTAAGGCACACAGCTCAAACCAGTTTACCGTTGCTACAAAGTGTGGTAATGGACCTCTCTTTTACAAAAAAATTCAGCAAGATATAATGTTGTTTAATGTGAAAATAGAGTTCCCAAAATTGTCATACCTGAGTAACTTCTGTCGTCAAACATCACTCCTGCTTCGCCCTTCCACAAATTGAAAGTGGTCGTTTTATTCCAAAATTGGTACATCACGGCTGTAGGAGCTCTGAGTAGACTAACCATGATATGCAGAATTCATTTCTGGTATTTATTTTAAAATCCAACTACTTCCCACTCGAATATTTGCCCAGTAATTTATCGACTTAAATTTTGACCCAGCCATTTTCGCAAAAACAACAAATTGCTCCATTTTCGCGCAAAGCATGACGGTATTTTTGAGCGCCAATTACTCGATATTCTAAAAAATCTCCTCTTAATTTTACTTCCGGTCGACGTCCGTGTTGTAAAAAACGTCACTTGCTTAAGCTCACTAACAAGCGGCTAAAAATGCCTCTTGACCGGTCACTTTTTTACCTCACCGATCATTTTGACCGGCCACATTTTCATGCCTTCTGATGTGATTCTGACGTCTTGAATTAAAACATGAAACTATGATGTATCGAAACAAGTTTCTGATAGTTTGTTTCACTGTTAGTGTAAGCGAATCAATGACTGGTCAAAAACAGATTTTGACCGAGCTAAAATCAAGTTGACCGGTCATTTTGACCGGAGACCTATCTCCCGTTATTTTGAGCCTCAATTGACTTTGTTAAGCTGTTCTTCGCGCGTGAAGTATATATGATTACCAGTTTAGTAATTATCATGCTTTTACTTTATTTTCTGCAGGAGAATAAATACAAGGAAGCAATTGGATTTTATGAACCTATCGTCAAGAAACATTACGATAATGTAAGAAAGATTGGAATTAAACCAGATGAGAGTGCATGAAAGTTGACAGTCACGAGACCTTCGTTAGCTGTTCTTAATGCTTTCCCAACACTATCATGTATTCCTTTTTTTTGTTAAAACATAGCTGGAACACGCATCATAACTTTATTTTGTTAATCTATGCTATCAACTCTCATCCACGTTTGACCAAGCCTGGTTACCAGGGCTTTATATATTGCTTTTCTATAGGGTGTACATTTGGGTTCACCACCGTTACTTTATATTAATGTTCTCTTGCTTTTGTTAGATACTCACTGTCAGCGCAATCGTACTGGCCAATCTGTGTGTCTCGTACATAATGACAAGTTGCAATGAAGAGGTTGGTATTTGCCTTTGGTAACAACCATCTCAACTGACAGCCAATGCTTTTTATGTAAAATCTCTACATTTATATATATTTCAAGCTCAAAGCCCTCCATCCGTAAGCGTGGATTTCATTGGTAAAAGTAATGGAAAAAACACGGACATTTTAAGACTCCGCCCTCCCCTATACTGGTTGCCGAAGTAACATGTTTTGAAGACTTGCTGTAATATATTCTATTGATCGGTTTTAGGCTGAAGAACTGATGAGAAAGATTGAAAAAGAGGAGGTCGGTATTACATGTTCATGCAACTTTTGAAATGCAATTCACTGATGTATGCAGTGACAGTTTCCTCTATAGTATCACTGTACTTACAAGATCCTCTGCATCCAATTATATCCTTCCAATTTCTTTACAGGAACAAGTTGCTTATGACGATCCAGACAAAAAGATCTATCATCTTTGTATTGTTAATCTTGTTATTGGGTAAGTCTGAAATTTAAACATGGTGTCGAACACTTCACTCTCGTGCAGCAGATGGTGGTCAACTTGCAGTTACCAGAGTGAGAAAATAATGTTCATTCTTTTCATCATATGTAGTAGTCTTGTATTTGGAGGCAAACAAATAGAATTGGGAGCTGTAGTTTAACCCACTGAAAGTCAACCTCGAACCCAGGCTTTCATTCTGTGCACCTTTTCAAGCGAGAAGAGGAGCGCAGAATGAAAGCCTGGGTTCGAGGTTGACTGAGAGCCAGCGCTCTCCCAATCGTTTGGTAGTAGGGCGCATTTGGGCGCAATGTAACTTCATGGGTTAAGATGTAGCTTAATTTCCTTGCTTCTTTAGTGTCAACAGTTCTGACCACCGCACCGACCGGCTGTCCTGTGTAATCGGTCATAAGAATACGAGTGTTTCAGAAACCATCAAGTTTATTTTGTATTATTATTTCAGGACTCTCTACTGTGCCAAGGGAAACTACGAATTTGGAATGTCAAGAATTATCAAGAGCGTCGAACCATACAACAAAAAGGTATTACCCTAATGTATATCTTACTACATTTAAATGTTTAATATTTATTCATTATTTTATTCGCACTTAGCTTGGGACAGACACCTGGTACTACGCCAAAAGATGTTTTATAAGTCTCCTTGAGAACATGGCTAAACACATGATCATGCTACGAGACAGCATCACAGAAGAAATCATCCAATTTCTGGAGCATTGTGAAGGTAGGAGCAAGGATGGGGGGGGGGGGGTTAGTGCCCTGCCCTTTACTGCTACTAGAGAGTTTCAGACTACCGCTACCTCGCATTGGCTTAATGCTCATCCGATTGGTTAATTGGGTAGATGAAACGCATCTGATTGGTTAATACTAATGGTAATCAAATCTGAACATCTCTGAGTGGCAACCCTACCCTGACTTTGTTTGTTTATTTGTTTATTTAACTTTGCCAACTAGGGCAGGGTCACCACAACAGCATATGCCAATTACTGTGGGCCCTTACTTATCCCACCCTGTCAACTTTCCCTGTGGGAGGAAACCGGAGTACCCGGGGAAAACACACGACGGCACGACTTTCGACAGAGCGTTGACTTTTACTCTTTTCACACGAGGACTGGGTTCGAGTCGCATTGAGAAAGTTCTCACTGAGATTTGAACCTCAGAGGTGAAAGGCAAGTGCGCTAACCACTTTGCCACCGAAGCTCCATACTTTTGAGTAGAGTTGTGGTTGGGTATCTTCTATTGCTTCGAGGGATTTTTTCCAGGTACACCGAGTTGTGTCCTTTGCAATTTAGCATTTACGCCTTAGCTGCTATAAAGGGGATGATTAGCACCAACCTTACTTTACTGTAAAATGGATCTAATTGTATTTTTCTAGTGTATGGTCGTAACATACCGGCGTTGGTTGAACAGCCGCTGGAGGAGGAGAAGCTACATCCGGGCAGAAATACCGTGACATACGAAGCTCGACTGTTGAAGAGTTTATTCCTGAAATTGAAATAATTTTCTGTAAACATTCGTCTTATCATGCAACTATTTCATATTCTTTGCCAGTCAAATCATTGAAGGACAAAGCTTTCCTAACTGTGGGTTTCAATAAGAAGTGTCTTATATAATGGTGCTACACACTTTGAATGTTTGCAACCATTACTGTGAATACGTTTTGTAAATAACTCATTAAATATCATTAAATTATCAGAAGATAAGTATTCAGTAATCTGTTTATGAATTCATTGTTTGTCGATCAGGTTTTTTGATTAAATTCATAATCAAATTGACATTTGTCAAATGCTCGTGACACGCATGAAAGTTTCACGTGAGATATCTGCGACTGTTCATGATTAGATGCAAACAACGGTAGGGCAATTATTTCCTGCAGGCCGGGCTGGCCCGAAAATCAGGCATGAATTCAACTCGGGCGTTTTCAAAGCGAAGCGTGTGTATAGGAAACAATATGGACGCTCAAAATTGAAAAATATTCGGATTTATTTGGTTGAAAGTGAGACATTGTTGCAGAATCTCAAGCCAATAATCTTTCAATATTTTGCCAAGATACTATCCTTGCTTAGAAAGTAGAGATTGCTGGGACATTTGATTGAATATCGCAAATGAGTTCCACAGCATCGAAGGTAAGGAGCGGGAAACTGCTCGAACATGAAATCTGAGTGGATTTTTAGATTTTATATTTGTATACAATTTTTACTAGTGAAGGAAAAATTTAAAAGATTATATATGTAGTTGATTCAGTCTTCTGTAATACTCTAACCTAAGCTAAGTGCTGAAAGATTTAGGGGTCACGTCCATATTCATGTTGCCACGCATAACGTCGAATCGACGTTAACACTCAAACCCACCCACCTACCCTAAATAACGTCGAGCGTGGCAGTCACATTGTTCAAAATCTTCACAAAATTGTAATTTTGCCACGAGATTATCGAGATAACGTCGAGAGAATTGAGATAAACCCACCCACCCACCTACTCATAACGTCGATTCGACGTTATGCGTGGCAATATGAATATGGACGTGACCCCTTATACTATAAGATAATAATTAAACTATATCATTTTAATAAATATTAGGTAGCAGATATATTCACAGCAGCAGGCGCTGCTTTTAATCGTCTTGGGGAACTAACAGTTCAACTTCATCCTCTTACAAGCGATGGTTCAACACAAACAAGGTGAGTCAAGAAATAATCTCGAGCAATTAGTGCCCTGAGTGTAGGTAACAATGATAACAAGATGGCTGCAGCTTTCGGGTCGGTAGGTTGGAAATAAATTTTTTTTTTTGAATATGTTTTCATGGTTTTGGCGGTTTTTTGCTGGGCGATTTTTAGTAGAGTCCCAACATCAATATTAACTAGAGATGCGTATTTCCTATGGACGAATTTAGGCAATTTGGTTAAATTATTAGTGTGACAACAGATGCCATTTTGGCACGCTGTATGAGCAGCCTGCAACCACCCAGAGAAAATAGGGACGCACGGTCAATCACATTGAAAAAATAATAGGGTCGGCAGAAAAAAATAGGGTCCGTCGGGAACTGGAACCAAGTATTTTTTTTCTCTGAGAGAGATGCAACTTCCTGAAAAATACAAGCTCAACGTTTCATTCGTCGGGAAGGGCCTTCAGGTAGTTGTATCTCGCAATCTGCAGCTGAATAAAGACATTCATTTCGTGGCTAGAATAGGGAGGTAAAAAATTATCTGGACATACCAATTTTCACTAACCCCCAAACTAATGTATCGTCATTTGTTAAAATGTTCGGTAAGATTTTTGTAAATTTATCAAAATTTTTGCTATAACTATTACTTTTTAGTCAGAGCCACTCAAATATTGTCACTGACTACGAAAACAATTTGCCGCCGATAAATTGTCATTTTGCCGAGAAGATGTTTTCAGGAGGGATGTCACACCTCACACTCTATAGCGACAGCCCTGATCTGAATAGGCTTGTAACTTTTCCGAACAGTGCAATTTTCTAAAAGTTGGGGGTTGCCCCAATACCCCCTTGCTAGACCCTAGATACATCATCACCCGTACCCTAATCCAGACTGGATTCCTATCTCTAGTTTGTCTGCATAGTTTCTCTTGTGTTTAATCTAAAGATGACATGATGGTTCATCTCTAGAATACCTCAGATTTTGTTTCCTTGTGATTTAGTGGCAAGTGGGGTGAAACAGAGATAGAAATGTTGCGAGATGCCGTCAAGAGATTTGGAGAAGACCTGAAAAAAATCAGTGAGATTATCACAACTAAATCCATGTATGGCTAGTAGATCAATACATTGCTTATTCAATTAAATGACACTACCTAAAAACCATATCTGAAAATACACAAAACACAATCTTGTGAGAAGCCTTTGAATAAGCCCTAGCCTAACAATGACCAGAGAGCTCAGAGTTCTTACATTTTTTTACAAGAAAGTTGGTGTAAACTGCCCTAATCCCAGAGAGATGCTTTTTCTGCTGCAAGTGATTTTAATATGTAGGCATATGCTACCTATTCAAGGTGTTTGAACAGTACATAGCTTTGCTCTGGGTAACCTATTTGACTGGGGATATACAACAAAAGAAACTACATCGAATACAATAATTAATTATAATGCATCTTCCTTATTCGTTAGAACTCAAATAAAAAGTGCTTTGAAACAACGTGTCTATGAACAAAACTACGCGGAACCATCACCCAAAAAAACTCCACAGAAAAGAACTGCCAAGGAAACCGAGGATGCTGCGAATGGACAGACTGACGGAGTGGCAGCTAAGAAAATTAAACAAGGTATGAAGTCAACAACATTGGTGACTTTCCTGACGAAGTAACCATGGCTGGAGACTCGAAACGTCGAGTCTTTTTCATGCCAGATCACACATAAACCACTTATGTAAGTTTGAACAATATCTCAATGACAATGTTTTTAGAGCCAGAAGATGTCGCTTCATCTTCAGAACAGAAAGAGAGAAATAAATTAACTTCACCGTCCAAAGAAACTGATAATGAAGTTGATGTTGAAAGTATCGAAGACACTGCGGCACAAAATGCACAAAGTATGTTGACACTGGATCACTTCCAAACTATTCTCCCCGAAGGACCAGTAAGGGTTGTCCTCTTATTGCTCCAGTCTTATTACAGGAGGAAACAGGAGTGAAAAACACATGTACTAACAATGTGATGTTTCGGTTTTTAGATGCTTCTGAAGCGGACAAAACAAGCAGTGAAGTGACGTCATCAGATATAGCCTCGCCATGAAACGGCTACGTGATAGGACTGGAACTATTGAGTACGACGTGGGCAAAACTCAAAAACAGTTCGTTCCACTTTGTATATAAGATACGGAGCTCATATTGTATACATATTACACATCAAACATTTAAAGCAATTCTAATGAACGGAACTAGACGATAAGACATCTTATTAAGAGATGTGTTTTTAAAGTGTAGAAACAAATAAAATTGTAAATCTTATTGTTGGGTCCTCTTATACACACGCATCTCACATCTTGTAGCAAGTCTGCCTAAAAGTTGTCTTCGCACTGCTTGTCCCAAGTTGTCAACAAGTTCGGAACAAACTGTTAAACAACTTGTAACAACCTTGTTGGTATTATCAGACTTGTTACAAGGTTTTTCCAACAAGTCCGATACAGTCATGATATGACAATATTGTTACAACCTTGTGTCATCAACCTTGTAACATTCTTGTTATATCATGACTGTATCAGACTTGTTAGAACAACTTTGTTACAAGTCTTATAACGCCATCAAGTTTGTTACGAGTTGTTAACAGCTTGTTCCAAACTTGTTACAACAACTGGGAACAAGCAGTGCGAACACAACTTGTTGACAGCTTGTGAACAGATTTGTAACAACTTGTTTGCAGACCTGTAACAACTTGCACGTTTTTACGCGCGAGTTTTCTAGTTCTACTGTATACTGCCATTAGCAACGAAAGATGGGCGATAAAATAATTGTATATGTTCATACAATACACTTCCGTGGGTTTGTGTCTGAACTACCTGGAAAAGATATCTCAAACGTGGTGGTCCAGTGTATGTAGTATTCTACAATAAGCTTCCGTGGTTTGTGTCTACCTGAAAGTATTAAAAACACTTCAAAGTCTCGGGCGAAGGATGATCATAATAAGGTTTGTTCAGACAAAAAAACAGCGCAAATTAAGAGTCTTTTGAAGATCGATTTTAGCGCCACAAACACTCAGTCTTTTTTTTTAATTTAGCAGAATGTGGCAGCTTATCCTTAAAGAACATGTAGAAGGGTATTTTTAGACTACATGAATCATAGCACAAAGGGAAGGCTGTTTAAAGATCGTTTTCAGGTTCAAACCTTCAACTACGCTCTGTGTTGAGATCGTTTTGAGCGCAAACACTTGAACTCGTTTTTTACTTCTTATCTTTAAATGTAAACAATGCCAATAGTATCTTTATGCTATACTGAGAATCATGGCACAAAGGGAAAGGCTCTTTAAAGATTGTTTCAGGTACAGAGATTCAGACGTTAACCGCAACACTCGACAGGTTGATAGTTTCGTTTTCATCGAAAACACTTCAACTCTTTTTTTACTGCTTATCTTTAAATGTAAACAATGCCAATGGTATCTTTATGCTATACTGAGAATCATGGCACAAAGGGAAAGGCTCTTTAAAGATTGTTTCAGGTACAGAGATTCGGACGTTAATTTAACCGCAACACTCGACAGGTTGATTTCGTTTTCATCGAAAACACTTCAACTCTTTTTTACTGTTTATCCTTAAATGTAAACAATGGTATTTTTAGGTTACAGAGAATCATATCTCACAGCGCCTGGTCAATAAATTATACACAAAGGGAAAGGCTCTTTAAGTAAAGACCGTTTTCAGAGGTTTAGAGACAAACCAGGACAGCTTGATTTCGTTTCTCGCGCAAACACTTGAACAATGTTCAAGTGCAGGATACGTAGATGCCGCCATTGACGTCACTGTGCTATTACTGAGGAAAAGGAAATTCCATCTGTTATGAACATGACGTCATTAGCGGTATGGAATGCATCCTGTACAGACTGCAATTTCAATTCATGTTTCGTATTTTGCAACAGAGTTTTAATGAAGTTCAGCCATCCATATTGGCTGCAGCCCAATGAATATAACACATGCTTTTCATTTTATTCCTCATTTTTTAAGGGTAAGTTTACTATTAGCCTGAGATATCATTCCTCCCGATATAAATGTCATTCTTTAAGTAATTGTAAGTACGTGTAGGGAGATGTTTCACTGAGATAGAGCACCACACCAGCCGTCATTACTGTTTTACTGAGATAGAGCACTACACCAGCAGTCATCATCTCCCAGTAACGTACCACATAGACAGATAGTCCATATTTGGGCTCAACTTCTCAATCCAGTTATGTAGGGCTCAGTGGCTCACTGAAAAAGATCGGTTGCGATGCATGATGGGAAGGTGCACCAGCAATCAATTCATATCAGCAATCAATTCATATCATGATGCATTCATATGCACTCCCCCCCCCTGAATTCACATAAAGGCGAGGCAGCATCACAGAAACACAAGATAGTTCCAGACTAGCACAAGGTACAAATTGACTTTTACCAACGAACGACAGTTACGAATGGAGAGTATGCTCGTTCCGGCAGTGGTCATGCCCAACACTCAACCTGTGAACGGGTATACTCTGGGGAAGAAGTTATTTCGCTCGCCTCAGAGTGACAATACGTAACAAAGCAACGGTTTTACTAACACTAACCCTATTCCAAACATCAACCCTAACCCTGCACCAAGTTTGTTTCTAAACCAATCTTGAAGAAAAACGTTTTGACGAAATGTCATTCTGAGGTCAGCGAAATAACTTCTTCCATACACTGGCTACCTGATGGCGTTCACACACACAACAAACACTCGCAGTTTAAGTTCAGTGAATAAAATGGTGTTATTTATTTCAAAATATTATTATAAGCTGTGAATGTTCTATATACAAGCATACACTATACAATATTTCCGTAAATTTACAGTTTCATATAAAACTATGTACACATATTATTCTGGCTGGAGAGATGAAACAGAATTGGGATCAGAGAGTGGGCTAAATCATCATCATGATTCATCAACACTATCGATTTATTGATCATGTGTTATATTATCACGAGTTGATATAGTTCCATCAAGTCTGATATCGTCTGCACGTAACAAGTTGTTAACAAGTTGATGACAACAAGCTCGTAGCAACTTGTTACGAACAGCCTGCATTACACACGTAAAAATCTCACAACTTGTCAACAAGATGTGTTCGCAACAGACTTGTAGCAAGCTTGTCAACAAGTTGTAACAACGCTGTTATTTTATCAAGTTGCTAAAGGTTGTCACTCACAACCTGTTGACAAATTGTTGAATTACAGGACGATAACAAGTTGTTGGAACAACTTGTAACAAGTCTGTTGAACTCAATAACCTTGTAGCAAGTTGTCAACAAGCTGGGAACAAGCAGTGCGAACACATCCTGTTGACAAGTTGTTGGAACAGCATTGCTACAAGTCTGCTGCAGGTTCGTTACAACTTGTGCGTTTTTACGTATGTAGTCTTGTTGGAACCCGCATGTCAAGGGGCAACAACAACTTGTTCCACGCTTGTCATAACAACTGGGAACAAGCACTGCGAATACATTCGGATATCGGCTTGACAATAACTTTGCTTGCAGACCTGTAACACTGAGCTGCATATAGAACTGGAGTGAGAAGGACGTCAGTTCCAGACCTCTAACCCCGACTATTTCTTCTCGTCCAGCCATATTCTACCCGTATTCCAATATTAGCTGAATATTTAACTAAATATATTTATTCATGTTTCGATTCCTTGACTTTACAAATTACTTTGTTGCCGTAGCAAGGCAGGAGCGCGTCATCGTCTCGAATTTCTTCGTAAACCGCCCCACAATCCTCTTCGTCCGTTTCAGTTTTAAAGAAGTATCTGAAATTAAGAATGTACATTTAGATACATGTAATTATTTCATTAGCGTTCTTTTCTCTAATTTTGAAATAGATCTAGAATAGGTGGGTTGCTATCGCGTGCAAGCTGATGGTAATTAAGAAATTACGGCTCTTTTCATTTATTGGAACAAACCAGAAATAGTAAAATTAGCTTCAAAAATTAACGAAATATAAATAAGATATTCTATAAAAGCCAATTAACATTTTCAAACACAAATGTTCAAGGCTCGTTAATTTTAAGTACCGACGAAGCCACTTTCATAATAGCTGAAATAAGTAATATCACTCCGGAAGGCGGCAAATGTGAAACAAAGTTCTCAAGGGTTTTACAAGACCGTGGTTGTTTAAGACACAGTATGTTTTATACGTTTTTTCCTACGACGGCTTTCCTAGGTGACCAGAGGCAGAGCATACAAAATGAGGGGTTGAGCCAATTTCCCCTTACCATAAACCAACTTTCCGATCGTTTTGTTGAACCATTGGTAATCAATGTTTGGTGGAAATGGAGTATTCTCGAAACCTTACTTCTTTATAATTTTGTGTTTCTAAAATTGTTAAACACTTAACTTTCAAGTCAAAATAAACCTTGAACTTATATAAAGGCCGCTTTACACTTGAAGGATTTGTAAGAAATGTTTGAGGGAACTGACTTAGTCTTAAACATTGAGTCGGTTTCCTTAAATATTTCTTACAAATCCTTCAAAACTTACTCAGTAGACTTTACCCAGGCAAAATTCCTACTATGCTCACAGAAACTTCGACAGTGTGATTAACCATATTATGTTTAATTTTGACAAATATCCAATTAAACTAGTTGCAATGTTTAGTCTACAAGTTAGACATGAACATCAATCATGTTTTTTTGCGTCGTTTTGAAAACCAGTGTGTGGTTAGGAACCATGCATGATTTGCTTCCAACAAAAGCACTTCAACGCCAACCTTTATGGTTTTTTTTTAAACCTTTTAACAAGATAATATCGCAAAAGAGATTTCGGCAAACATAGATAATTGGCTTTTTCGAGTGTGTTTTGTAATCTTTTTACCACGTATAATAGTATTTTCTTTATCCCCAAAGTTGCCCGTTGGCTGTGGGTGTAGTTCTAACATCGAAAATGAGATTTCGGCAAACACTGAAACATATATAATTGGCTTCTCCGAGTGATACTTGTGATTTGTACGTGGTATGATAATTTCTTTATTCGTTAGCTTTGGGTGCAGTTTCAAATACTGTAAACAATCTTCTTAAAACTACAAGATTTGCCAACTCAGCCGGATGGTAAGAAATTTCATGAATTCTTGTTATTAAAAAAGTACTTTCTCGAGTGTTTAGTAACCACAGGCTGTTAGCTAGGAGAAATAGTGAAATACTTCACCACAGGGTGTTTATAGCCAAGAAAAAAAATCCCCATCAATTTCAACTGAAATTCAGTTACGTAGGCCGTGACATTCAGACCCAAGGCCAAGTTAAGAAATGTCTCTTATTATATCTGAATGTTGCCTCCATCACGTGTTAATCTCATGGCAAGGCGCTAATTAGTTGAGCTAAATAGAAACCTTTCAACGTCAACTGTTTTGCGTATAGTAAAAACAGACAAATATATTTTAGGTTAGATATGGCATCCTGGCAACACTGATGTCGTTCCAAATTCTTCTTGAGCACAGTTTTGAACAATCTTATATTTTTCATTTTATTTTCATAACAGTTGTGTGCTATTTTTGGCAGATCTAAATTAAGAAATTGCTAGGTAAATGTAATTTTATACTACCGCGCTCAATGTCTGAAACCCACAATGACAAGGTTAACCCTTAGGTTATTGGCGAGATCAATTTCTGTTTTGGTACATTGGTAGTCATCAAAAAAAAATTTGACCTCCAAGGCGGCAAAGTTTTGATATTCCTAGCCAGTGTTATGGTATTTCATCTTAAAAGGAATGTTCACCCTGGGATAATGGAGAAGTTCAGATTTTGATTTCCGAAATGCGTATTTATGGAGCTTCTGTGGCACAATCATTAGAGCAAGCGCCTTTCACCTCTGACTTCGTGGGTTCGATTCTCACTACAGACTCATGTGAAAGAGTCAGTCAACGCTCTGCCGAAAGTCGTGGGTTTTCTCTGGGTGCTCCGGTTTCCTCCCACTGGGAAAGTTGACAGGGTGGGTTAGGATAAACACAGTTAGGAAAGTAATATCACAATTGTTGTAAATATAAATACTCTAGGCTAAGCAAGTAACATGAGCTTACTGAAAAGCCCCAATGGGAAATGAGCTGAATAATGTAATGTATTAAGCCAGTGAGAGGTAGTCATAGTCAAACTGAATCGAATGTCTCTATTTGTCAGGAGAGGTTAACACGATCTAGTTTGCAAACTGCTAACAATGGTGCAGATTCTTCAGGGGGGTTGTACCACCTAAGAGGGGAAGGTGTGCTGAGCTGTTTTTCAAGACTACCCTTTTTCAGCATAGCAATATCTGATCTCAAAATATGACTGGACTGTTTAATATTGTATGGAAAATGAAGTCAGCGTTTATTTTTCAAGTACTTTATGGTAGGTGTATATTTATGCACCACACTATCCAGTCCTATTCTGAGACCAGTGGCTCAACCACTGATTAACTAAGAGCCAATTACAGGGTGTTAACTACAGTAAAAAATTCTGCTTTAAACACGGTTTTCCCAATTACCTTGAGGTCGCAATTTCCCAATTTGGGTCAGCCAAAAAAATAGTTATAGAAATTCAATGTTGTTAATACACCATTAAAAACATGTTTATACCTACATTTGCTCAAAATTACTCCCAAAATGCGGGAAATGCCATTTCAAAGACACAAAAATTTTAAAAATCGAGAGGGGGCAACCGCATAGACCCCCCACAAAGAAATGCCCGGCTTCAGGCTAAAATAAATTTCCCAATTTCAGGTAAACGCGGGTTTTTTTTACTTCTGGCTAACACTGAGATTTTTTGTAATCGTGGAGAGATAATTACCTATAATTTCCTTTCTTGAAGGCAATCAGTTCCTTGAATTGTCTCAAACAAACTTTCGTATCTGGCAAAATCGATTGATATGGGTATCTTTCACCATCCAAATAGTAAACAATTTTTGTACCCTCCGGTGGTCTCGTACCCTTCTGTGCACGACCAAGGCCACTGTCTTTGCTGTTCACCGTAGATGGTACAGAGGATAGGGCTGAGGATGAACTGTACATTGCCGCAGGATGGAAGTCTCCAGAGACTACTGAGGACAAGCAATCTTTTGAGTCCGTAGGAAACTGGGGACAAGTGGCTTGAGATGCTTTGCTACTTAAATAACCAGTTCTAGAGAAGAATTGAATTTTAGTTACATTCAAATAAGTTCTAATTGAGTCCTAATTAGAATTTGCTGTAGTAATTTCTCACGAAGGCCAAATTCACCATTTTTGGGATACTTTTTTGAAAAGGAAGTGAAAAATCTAAGCAATGTGAAAACATTTTTTCAAATATTTAACTGTTAGTTAACTTATAATGATTATACTCACAATTATAGTTATACAAATCCCTTATGCACTGTGTACAATTTCAGATTTGGAAAAGGAAGTACCCCAAAAATGGCGGAAAAGGAAAAATTCTGTTTGTGTGTGGGTGGTGCCGTAAAAGTAGTCTTAACTCTTACCTATTTTTATGTGATTTACTTCGTTTCTCACGCACATGTTTCTGTGAGAGTCGTCGTGAAACCTCTTCGATAGTATTCCGTGAATCAGGTAGATCTAACGGAGGCATTAATGGATCTTGTGCAACAGGTGCTAAATGCATTGTCCCATGAATTGGGCCAGATAATCCTGCATTATACAATTGTTTTGTCCTTGGCTTATTATAATTTCCTCGACATACTTCCTTCTCGCTGTGATCCATCCATTCGTGGATTCGGTTACGGGTTTCGGGCTGCATGCTGAAGTCCTCCTCAATGTTAACCCCGCTGTCCGGCGCAGACTCGATAGTCCCGACACTTTCCCATTGTTTTTTAGTATTCCCCAAAGGCACACACTTGCGTTTCTCCAGGTTAGTATTGTGACTATTATCCACAGACGCTGGGTAATATCCTGTTAGTCCCTGTTGTTCAACATATCCAATATGAACGTACTGGGGCATTGCGTTTGAAGGAACAGGATAGCTGGGTTCCTGAAAATTCGGTGGAGGTAGCCCTAACCCAAATCTTCCAAACTGCTGGTATTGTTGATGTCTTTCGGCGGCATCTTCCAAAATAGACTTCTTGCTTCCTCGTGTATGCTAAAAATGAAATTTTACATATACTTAAGACTTGTGTTAAAATCACCAAAACATATACAACACTCAGACTAAATCTAAAAAACCTGTAATAAAAAACCTGTAATAAAAAATATAAAACCTGTAATAAAAAAAACAAACTATAAAACCTGTAATAGAATAATTAATTTTATTATTACAGTTTTTTGTGCCAAGTATTTCAAGACATTTAATTTTGGGCAAAAGCTACCTGTAGATATATTGCCATCTCACCTTTGTGCAATACAATGTATACATCACACGAAGGTGAAAAGCAAAATAAAACCAGTTAGTAACAAAAGGTTCAATGTAAACAAAGTTCACATCATTTGTTTGTGATTAGATTGTGAAGAAAATGCAAATTGACAAGTTAAGATATTTTGCCACTTTTCGACTTACTGCGTTCTTGAGATATTCAACATTGTTTGACATGCAAATTATCCTCACTTCAATGACATCAAATTATATTATGGCTTTCTGAAAAGACTTTTTTATAACTCTTGTAGACAAGTAGATAACTGATTCTTGAAAATTTGTCGACATATAAATATATGTTTGCAGTATGTTGACATAACACATGATTTTTTTTTTACGATGTGAAAGCACAATATCGCAGGATCTTGAAGTTATTTTCAGAACGTTATTATGCAATGTGGATAGTTTGCATTTTGAAAATTATTAAAAACCTCAAGAATGAAGCAAGTGAAGATAAGTTGAAAAAGTATCGTATTTGGTCAATTTGAATTTTTTTACAATCATATAAAAAACGGCGTGAAATTTTTGTTCCATATTATTAATGTAACTACTAAGGTTCAATAAAAAAGCAGTTTTAACTATAAATATACTTGTGACTTACATTAATTATCAGGCTGTAGTGGGTAAATTAATGAAATTGCTCAACTATGTTTTACATGGGCAGCATATTCAGCAGAAAAGTCCTGAACTTTTAAACATTTGAAACTGTAAACCACAGTTAATGCAACTTAATCACACATTATCCAGCTGCCCCAAACAAGATTTATGCAGCGTAATATTTATACAATATATGATATTTATACAGTGTACCAGAGTGCATAAATTTCAGTATTTAAATTTGACATAATTTACAAACCTCATGAGGCAAACCAGCCAAATTAATAGCCGTCCGTTCCTCTTGTTCTCGTTCGATAGCAACTCTCTCTAACTTTTCAATCAAGATCTTAGCAAACTCTTCAGGCGGCAACTGCTTGCTGGCTTTTGGGAGTCTCTTGGTTCTCTGAAACAAGAAGCAAATTTATATTAACCCATTGAGTGGCAGCAATCTCCCCTTGACGAGTAAAATTGTCTGGCGTTAGACAGAGTAAAACAATAAAGTAGGGCGCATCACCAGACCACATCAATATTACACCTGGTCTACATAATGTAATACCCCGCTATTAAATTATATAACATTGCAGCTGGTGTAGATTTAACAATCATACCCTACTATTACTGATATTATGCCCAGTAACAGGTTGTTATATATATTGTTTTTTGGCAAATAATTATATTGTAGCATATAATGGATACATATGAATCACACTGCATTAGCAAAAAAGAAAATTCAATCACAAAACTTTGTACGAAAACAGTTAATTATGTATATACCAATAATGATAACATAATAAATACGCCAAATTGAACGTGTCTATCAGAAACCCTTTACAACATTTTAAAACAACATTTAAGTTTCTTGAAGTTTACCGGTAGGACAGGTGTTATGAAATGTGTTAAAAGCCATCAATGTCTTAGACCCCTCCTACATGCACTAATATAGTGCCTAAAGCATTTGGAATGATGCAACAATTTGCCGTTCCGAGTAAAGACCATTCATGAGGAAATTTCTCCTTATATTTTTCAGGTAGTTGTATCCCTATCAATCCGAAATTTTCTTATTATTGCCACTACCTACACTGGCATTGACCGTCCTTTGATCTATGGATTTCAAATAAAGTCTTTTAGAGTAAACCTGTCAATCAAATTCAAATGAGGAAGTTGGTTTCACTATTCATCTATTTTGTTGTGTCTTTCATCGCAGGCTTTTTTATTCTTCTTGTGTGAAAAGTAGTGAAAGGCAGAATAATTTTAGAAATTACATCTTAGTGTTAATGCTGATTGGTTCATGACAGGTCTGACAGCAGGCTAAGCTTAATCCTGTTCAGATCATGTGGAGCCTCGATTTCATGCATGCTACATCTACCGTACTTAAGTAGAAATTCACATTGCATAATCATAGAGTCTGTTTCTGCAAGCAATGAACATATTATATACCAGTGGTGGGGAAGTTAGTAGCAAGAGTTTATTTATTAACTTTACAATCATACAAAAATGTTAACAATGATTGAAGGTATGGTCAACAGGACATGAGTCCCATGTGAAGACCAACCTGATACAATACAATAAGTAGACATACATTAAAGACAAGGACTAGAACACTATTTACATAGCTATATAAAAAGTAATAGTTTAGATTATGAGCAACAGCTTAAGTCGAAAGAACGGCATTTAGAGTAGTAGCTTTTCCAAGTGCACATTCTGCTAACATTCAAAGAAGAGTCTAATAGCAGTTGTATCCCTATCAATTCAAAGCTTTCTTATTATTGGTACAACATTCGCTAGAACAGACCCTTCAAGATTTGTATTGTATATGTCATTTTGGATAGGTTATATTGCATCATAATAAAGTGTCGACATTGCCATGCCATACTGAGCTTAGCCACTTGCCTGGCATAGATAAATTAACACTCTATAAATAACACTTGGTAATAGAAATGAGTAAGAGTTACTAGGTAATAAACACAACAAACTTACAGGTACAAAACCAGCGACACCTTGAAAGCCAGGCCTTCTTTCGTTCGACCTTGACGTCATGTCACTAAAACTAACAGATTAGTACATATTAGACATCTTAAGATGGTTTTCCCGGCACTTTATTAGAAACATTTCGGCTCTTTCTTAACACCGAAATATCTTCCATATAAATCAATAAACATTGGTCGTAGGGTCTGGGTCAGATTCTGGTTTAAAGTTACAGTAGGATTAGGATTAAGAAGAGTTAAAGGGTTTAAAAAAATACTACATTTAGTTGGGGTTTAATTAAACGTAAATGCAAAAACTGCTAAAATTTCAGATAAGATCAAGTGTTTTTGTGAATATCACAAACAGAAAATAATACATGTTATAGAAAAGCATAGCACTGGTCTGATCAATTTAGGCCTGATTGTATGTGCCTGATAATTTTAGTCTTTTGGTTTTCGTCAAAAAGACAGGGTAGAGAGAGCAATGACTTGCATTAGGTTATGACAATCTCATACACTTAAGACATTATCTTCTACACTTGTTAAGCAAAGCTAACTGTGATAGCCTTCTGGTTTTAATCAAGCCATGTAGGTAGGGATAGGCAATAATGTTTACTGCACGCGGTGCACAGTATTACCACTAGCCATACATCCAGTGGTTCATATGACATGATAAAGTAATTGATGAATGTCTTCAATCTCTTCAAGCAGGAAATAAGGGCAAAGGTCAGGGGCAGGTTGTCAGCCTGAATGGCCACAAACACAAGCTCTTGTCTCAAACATGGATTATCAAGCAAACATGTTTTATATCAGCTGAAAACCTTCTTTATATTAGTTAAGACAACAAAACTTACTCTTAATCACATAGAATCAATTAATATTGATTCATTGCAACCAATAAGAAAACGGATTGAATCTGAGTAATATTACGACAAGGGAATCAAGCCGTGCTAGTTTTGACTCAAGACAATAAAATTTAGCCCATTTGGTGCAACGTAGTAGAACAGGCATAAAAATCAACTAATATTGACTTATTACATTCAATAGGAAAGAAGAATGCCAAAACATTTTAGAGCAAACTGATTGCAAAAATAAACTAGATCGTGGGAATCTGAGATCGCTATTTCAAGCCCTCTGGCTTTAATCATACAAAACCAAGTAGCATTGTTAAAATTCATTCCTCCTCAAATACTTATTTGGGGCCGAGCATGAATTATAATGAAGCAAGATGAATTAGCCATTTGAAATTACAGCTATCAAAATTCTTGCTTCCCTGGGTAGATAGATTATTTCAGCTGAACCTGATGTGAAAAATAACACATACACACCATGCTGGTTTGACTGTGAAACAACTAATGCGATATCAAGTTTCTAAGTTATATAAACACCAGCTTGAGGAGTTAAGATGATTTCACAGTGATTATAATTTATTGGCATCATAAAAGTAAAGAGGTATCGCCTTTAAAATAGGGAGAAGTTTAATAAAAGTATGCATTGGTTATAACAAGTCAGGAGCTATCCTTTCTAAAAGGGAAACCAATGAAATTTAATAAAAGTTAGTGCATGGCAAAATAACAGTTATACAAAACAAAAAACACTCCCAATACAGTAAAAGCATCTAGTAACATTTGAGTAACAAATAGACAAGTCACTTTTAGCTTTTGATTCGGAGTACAGTTTGTTTTGTAGTTCTTGAAATTATAGGTTGGAAATGGATTACTTACTCAGTTACTGTAGATTTTGTATCGTCAGTCAGTGCATCACTGGATAGGCTCTGTACATCAGAATGATTTGCTGAAACTACTGGTGGCGCAGGCTGCTGATACATTCCAGCAATAGCTGCCTTGGTTAAGCTCAAATTTACCGGTACATATCTAGAGGATAAAGATGAACAATAAGTCTAGAGACCTATTATGTAGAAACAGTAGAAGGTAGTAAAACCATTATGTACAGAGTAAACTAGGAGAAACTATAAGTACGGTTCAACTCAAATTTATCAGCAGTGAAAAGAGTTCAAGTTAAAACCACAAAATAGTTGTTCAGATCTTTAAGAATGATTCTGAGGCAATCTTCAAATTTATACAAACATTTACTACAGACTGAATGTCGATGCATTTTACCAGGACTAACATATATTTATAAACAAAAACTAGAGTTAAGATATCAAAGTTAAACCATTATACATTAGATGCAGGGCAGGCAATATATATACGGTTAACTACAGGCCGAGAAACAACTAAATATTGCAGGAATGCGACTGAATATCTACAGCATGAACATCGATCTTAAAATCATTCTATAAAGGTAGTATAATGTCAATTACTTAATCTCAAAGCGAGGATCATTTCACAGCGCGTTTAATTGAATCGGACAGGCAAAAATATTTGTCCCTGTACCGTATACAAGTCGGTGTGAGCTCCATTTAAACAAGACAAATATTGAATAAGATGATATAATCAAATCGTGTCTGATGTTTTTCGGCATGCGTTTGTGCAACTGATTGCCATTTAATATAAAGACGCCGATATTTAAATCAGAGTTCGTGCTAATTCTTGAAGCTGAGAGCGCTTTCGATTACTTTAAGATGTACTGAGTAAACATTGACCACTTGAGACAAGTCTTAGTCTGTGGAAACCAAAACTAAAAACATATAACCTACAGCCCATATTAGTTGATAGTTTTGTAATCGGAAAAATGAACAGTTTTATTATCCATATCCAGGGGTTTTCACTGTAGTCAACGTTTTTTTCAAGCGCTAAACATTCATCGCGAAGCGTTTTTCAAGCCAAATTGCTACAATACCATGTCACAATTAGCGTTTCGAATAATCTGTGGTTTTCCAATGTTTTTCTACAAAGCAGACGGGGAACGCATGTAACAGGACGCAGTGTTACAATGTTTTGCTAGAAAAACATATGTGTCCAATTTGCACACATTGTCAATATGTGCGCGTTTCTATGTGTCCAAACTCAGCAGTGTATTTATAATTTAGAAAAAAGCCGCATATTTGGTTGCGTTCCCCAATATCCAAACACGCGAGGTTAAAAATGAAATGATCTAAACGATATCTCTTTTGACAAGTGGGGTATAGTATTAACCAGCTAGATTTGCGGCGGACTTAAGAGCGATCATAGGGCTGAAAACAAACGGAGACGCGGAACAAGCGCCCGACAGGGTTCGAAATATCATAGATACCGACGAAGCGGCAAGTTTCAAGAGCAGCCCCTTGACCACAATAACAGAACGGTGTTTTTGCCATGCAAATTTAGTGTCATTTAATAAACGCAGTCGGAAAATCTGTGTGTGAAGACAATTTGCACAATCTCAAGCACTCAAAATCCTTCAAAAATGCTTCGCTTTTTCAGTTTTGCCCTTACACAACACAAATCAATGCGCTGTCAAAGATTTCCGTAATGTGTTTTTTAAAACACAAATCGTCCCGCTGGGGTCAGCGCACCTCGAAAATTGATATACTCTTTTTTCACGAGAGGTTAAAGAGCTTATGAAGGGTTTGGGCTACACATGTAATGTTTGTTCATGTTAAGTACAGATTACAAACATGAAGCTATGGCCAAAAAACCCGGAATCTTGAAATCATGAAATGAAATGAGCTTATTTATATGCCGCCAAAGTGAAATCAATTCTCAGGGGTTTTATGTTAATTGCAACATAGACATAGTCAGTTTGTTTTCCTACAAAAGTTGACAAAACACTCACTATGCAACACTCAACATAAATCTAGTACTTAGTGCAATCTCAGTTTGGACGTAAACCGTCCAACGCTATCACACAACAAGCGGAAAGTCCTTTTAACCTACACAGACATACTTGAGTACAATTAATTGCGACTTTTACAATCGCCGACACGGAATAAAGAACATACATACACTGTATAATATATCTATATATATATAAATGCATTTCTCTATTGTAGGCTATATATATATATATACATATATATATCACTAAGGCTTCTTTTGCTATATAATGAACCTATTTATTCCTATCTTATTAAAAGGGGATGCTTTCTAAAAAGAAAACATATTTTTAGTCGGTGTGAAATGAACCACGGTAGCTTTTGTGAGCCACGCGGAACAATAACAAGATAAATAGAAATTTTCTTACCCTTCTCGTTCATCAAGCGCTCGTCCCAGTGGTCTTGCATTCACATCAGTAGAAGGCCAATTGCCACGATTTTGTTCAAAAACCTTTTCCTCTGGCAAAGAAGGCAAACCTTTAGCTCCAAAACGAGAGACATTCTTGGATGAAACCCGATCTTTCGATTGAGTCCCTTTTGAAACATCAGAACGCATGTAAATATCCGAACCGAGGAATTTCCCGTAGTGAAAATCGTTCATGTACTGAAGTATAAAATCCTTAGCATGGTCGAATAATGTTTCATTTGGCTGTCCAGAGGTTAGCCTATGTTTCACTTTAGCACGGATAGCGTCTGGTAAAATACTAGCAGACAAATGCTTTGAATGCAGATAATGGTTATACGTCGAGTTCGCTTTCGGTGTAGCCAGATTTGACCCTGTGTTTGCTAACCGCTTAAATTCCTCACACGATTGCCAGAAATCTAGCAATGATTCGTGTTTTTGTTCCCGTAGATATTCCCTAAACAATGAATGGCCATGTCGGTCTGAAATAAAGTCCATAAGCGACAAGTTGCCTTCGCAAAAGTTTGGCTTTGTCGCGCTGCCTTCGGGCTCGAATCCAAGCGGTGCTATAACATCGTCGGTGTATTTATTCCCGGTGTTTTCATACATATCCTTACTAGAAGGCCTTCTCGGTACAGCACTGTAGTTGACTGTTTTCCCTGAGTTTATACTGAGACTAGAATCCGAATCTTGCCCTGGTGGTGCTGGCCGTAAACCCGTCAAGTTGTCGCTATACTCGTTGGACATTCTAGCTTCCTTTGAATATCAATACAAATTCACATGTACACGCGAGAATAGAGGTCAGATATACGTTGATGAATAATCCCAAATGGTAACTTTACAACGCAAGAGAGTATTTCGTACGAGATACCGACGGCTCCAAAACAACTCCTTTCTCAAAGCGTTACGCCGATAAACTAAAGTGTTCAGACGGGTTCGGCTCTTTCTTTCAGAATAGATCAAAAGCGAGGCCGCTTCGGTTCAAAGCAAATATTTTATAAACATAAGATGTAGTGCTTCACGTCTAAATGCTAAGATGAGAGCATTATATGAAGTTGAGGTTAGACTTGATAACGGTAAGTATGTCTCGCCGTGAACGTGGTACGAACGAGGCGATATCTTTCACAATGTAGGCTGTTCGACTCAACGAGTGTATACATCGAAGCTTGCCGAAAAGCGCTCTGACTGGTGGGCGTCAGGTCAGAATTGTTGAAACTTTGCGAGTTGCCTTTGGCGGTATTAGTTCAAAGCGTGCCGACCTTAAAGAGGCGGTGTTACTTCGATCAATTGACTTGGATGAGACGTCAAAAGGCTTTTGCACGCCGCACCAATCACAGAACAGCTTGCCACTGTTCGATCTGTTCCACGTGGTTCGAAGCTTCACACATGCTGATGATTCTACATAATTAACGGCAGCTGTGATAAAGCTTATGGGTAGTTCGGCTATGAGCCTCTTTGCCCTCTATTGGTGGACGCGATTCGCCCTAATTATGCTCCAACTAGCCGCGGCTTGCTCAAAGGTTTTCAGAGCTCATCAGCGACCATAGGATGTAATAATGCCTGTTGGTATAGTTAATGCGAAATAAAACCGAAAAAATTACAACAGCTTTATACAGCTACGCCGCAAATATAACACGATATCGATATTATGCCCGCAAGGTTATGTCTGCCTGTTCAAGTGATGCGTAAATTATGTGAGAACCAATCAAAATGGCGCTCGAAAAACTACGAAGTTCCAATTCGATGCAACTTTTTGTTCCCAGTTCGAACGTACGTGGATTCCTTAGAACGTACGTTGATTCTAATTTTTTTTCTTTAGAACGTATTTTTTACTTTCGAACATTTTTTGTTCTAACGATGTTCGTTAGAATTGCATAGCTAGAATAAATCGTAAGCTATCGAGTCGAATCATTTGTTGTATTTGAGATTCACAGCTTGTTTTATTCGTTATTATCACAGAATATCTTTAGCTGGTGGAAAAAAGTAACTGCAAAAATCAACACAAAACATGGTTCCAAGTTAATTTGTGCTCCTCGAATGTACGTTGAAAATAAGAGTATGATGCTCTTTGCTACTATATATAGACAGCTAGAGTTTATAAAGTCGTATAAATTTCTTGTTTTTTTTCGACCAAAACCACGACTGCTTATCGGAAGATACTTCCTACACTTGGGACACCCACGTCAAAGAAAATATTACAACGTCTTACTTTTCGTATATTTTATTGTTTGTGATCATTCATCGATAGGGAATACGTCACTATCCGGCACTTGAAAGGTTGAAATGATCTTAAACCGATGTTATCTGGCACGCGTTAGCAGTTGATATATGCATGTAAAAAAATTTTCACCCACATTTTATCTTAAAAATGTAAATTTTTGATCCATCTTTAATCTCAATTCCATACAGTGTATGTAAATTTCTATTTGTGCAAGTAGATTTGTAAAAGCATGCCTCAATTTCACGTAATGATGTAACTTTCAGACAAACTTAGGACCACTATATATCAGTGCTCACACCATTTATAGAAAAACAGGATATACTGTGGGTTATATAGGGTACTCTTGTTTATATCATTCAAATCATGAAACCAGCCAAAATTTCCAGTTCCTGTTGTTACGTATGTACGTATTTTCGTCCTTCGGTCCTTAGACTATCCAATAAATATTCATAGAAACACTCGAACACAGGACTTGGTAAACACAATGTAGACACGCGAGGTCATCACTGGTCTATACAAATTTTGGACCTGTTGACATATGTGATAAAAAAGATGCCGCCTAAGTATCAGCACGAAAACGAGGCCATCTAATATGGCTATCAATATCGATGTGAACAAAAATTTGTACTAATCCCAAAACAAGTTATATCTTTAACCCCTAGTAAGTTTTTCAAAACCATCGGTATATACGAAACGAATAACGAGAATACTCAACACAATTCATTTTCAGCAGAGTGATATGATTGGAATTGGATATGTAGAAGCCTATATTTGCATATGAGAAGACCAAGTGGACATATTGAGAAATTAAGTTTAATTTTCTTATTATTCATACACACGAGTTTTATCATGCATGAAATTTGTTCTCAGACTCAGAAATTTAGGATGGAGATCACTTGAGCAATATATTTTATCATCTAGTTATATGGCACAAGGAAATGAGAGTGGTTCATACGAACCAGAGGTAGGCGGAGCAGTGCTTTCAAAGCAAGACCGAAACTTCCTTGTCAGGTATATAATCTATAGAACTTGCACGTTCGTTTTTACGCCCGTCCGCTAGCCTACGCAGACTACCCGTCCGCTAGTTCAAAGATCGCAGTTTACCTTTGAGGAACCATGCAGTTCGCCGCAACTGGAAAAGACGTATGAAGTTACAAATTCCCATGTCACTCAAACTTTGAGTTTAAAGATCAACGTGTATTTTGTCTATATATATGTCCAAAAATAGAGACTTGAGGACGATGATTTTTTTACATGTATCCATTAATTTTTTTTTATATGTTCCGAATTTGCTGGGATAAGAGCCAACCAGATAACTTATAACTTGGGTAGCTTTTGTTTGTGTTTTTTTTCATTTTGTAATACTACTGAAATTAGCCCTTTAATTTAATGATTTATGCAAAACGGTCGTGAAGTAAATTTTATTGCAAAATTTTATAATTTTCATTGTAAATATTTGATAAATTGAAATTTATATTGAATATTTTAGTTTCTTATAGAAATTCTGTGGTGAAAAAGGTACGACGAAAGACTTTCGATTTGAATGCAATGAAAACTAAACTTCTAGCGTAATCCTAGCATCACTTGAATTCTAATACGATTTTTAATTGAATATTCGAATTCTAATTAGAGTTCCAAGTTCGTTCGAAATTCGCATGTTTTTCTGTTTTCTCAATTTCTCACAGTTTGACCGTTTATTATTGCGCAGCATTTTTTTATGGACGCCGCGATTTCCGTATCAACGAAGTTTGTCGAGTAGCGCGTTTCTTGTTCCTCGTTCCAATTAGCCACCGATTTTCGTTTCGGCTGAATAAAACGATTAACCAGATATGGCGATTAGGGCTAAATACCTCGGCTTGTTAAGATATATTGAATAATCAGCATGTTCACATCAGCCCTCCTCTGGTCCCCACACAAGTTTCCTGTGATTATCACGTCTAGTGCGGACATATCGGGTCTCACATTACTAAATTGCTACAAAGGTGCCGTGGATGTAACACCAACCAGGGTAGAGCTGGGCCGACTCCACTTTAATATCACGGCGGTAATTAGTCCTATCACGGGGGGGCTTTGTGTCGCTAATCAGTGGTTACTTTATGATTCGCATTCATTCTTAAAAGCTTTATGAAACAGTGTAAGGTTTATATGTTAGTCAAATAACGCGGTGCTGTACCGACACCTATGGACTGTATTAAATAAGAGAGCCTGTACACTTGTTACGTTGCCTCATTGTCGCAATTATAATATCACAAACATTGTTATCAGACTCCAAGCCGACTCAAAGAAGAGCGCTCAAAGCAAAGGCCAGTAGCGGCTTCGGTTGATCGCCGAATTAGGTCAGATTACAAAACCCGGCTCACGAAAACCAAATCATATTTCGATCATTATTTTTACACAATATTAATATCGGCGCGGCTATAAGCGCTCATTATGGCTTCTGGGACAACAATGGTTTGCCATTTCGCCGAAACTATGTGAAGCCGTGCGGTGTAAGCGATTTCACAACTGTGCATGATGAGCAATTAATAGAGCGTGTGCCACTTGGACGGCCTAATAGAAACGCATTAGGCGTGAGTGTGAGACTCGGCTTCGGAGCAGAAATTTTTTCCATTAGTCTGATGCGTTTTTAAAAACGATTTCATACTAACGCTGACGCATTATACTTTTGTGGTGGTAGGCAATGATTTTTGGAGCTGTTAGCCTGGAGGTAGAGGTTTGAAGACACACGCTTCCACTCACCCTTTTCACATGATTTGTGGAGTCGGAGTAGATGGGTAATTCAAGTGACGGTATATATCTGGCGATCTTATCATAAAGCTGGAGTAATACGAGCAACAAAATTGCTGCAACTTGCAACAAAATCTGATTTCTACGCATGTTAATTGAAACGTTTATGCACAAACATTACCAATCACAAGGCAACATGTGTCGACATTTCTACTAACATGCGTTGAAATCAGATTTTGTTGCAAGTTGCAGCAATTTTGTTGCTCGTATTACTCCAGCTTAACCCACGCACTTGAAAATCCATCTTTTCAAGAACGGTCTCTGCCAGCTCGTTTGCCAGTGTGGTGCCAATAATAAGAAAACTTCGCGAGTTTTCATATATGTACAAGAACCTGGGCCGCCAAAAGAATTTGTGGGGCCTGGGGCAAATCTTCTCTGGCAGCCCTATGACATCATTATTTTCAAGCTAGACCCAATCCAACTGAGTCACCCAACTAGACCTTAGGTAGACTGCAGGTGGAGCTCTGACCAATTTGAAGAACCTACTAAATTTTAGGCTCTCGCTCTCAAATTGGGGCCCCATTTTAAGAGGTGGGAGCAATTCCCCCTCCCCCCCCCCCACCTGTGGTCCCCCCCCCACCTGTGGTTAACGCTCATCAACTGGCCTCTGTAGCTCAGAGCACTGCACCGGAATCGCAGGGCCGCAGGTTCAATTCCTGCCAGAGGACCTATTAAGGGTGTTGCATTTTTTGCAACCGTTCCTGGTTCACCTGGCTAGGCATAAAAAGTGTTACATATATATCGTCACTTATCCACCTACCAACAATGATTATTTTCAAGTTCGCCAATTTACACACAAATGTCAAGAAATAAATTTTATGTAAATCAAAAGCACTTGTCAAACAAATTGGATAAAGAAATAACAAATTCTTCCAAGTTTATCACCATTGAACTTCAAGTCTAACCTAAATTAAAATTATTCATGTAGTTCTTAGTGTTTAAAAAAAGAAAAAGTTATGGGAAAAGTAGACAATTATCGGCTGCGGGGTGTCTGTAAAAGCCGGAACCCCTCCCGGAACACCCGGAACCCCACCCGGAACACGCTGGAATACGAGCTATGAAGCAACGCACGTGTTTCTCGATAAATTCACGTGTTTCGCATTAAATTCGGGGTGATGGATGGTTACGATCTTTACTTTTTACTTGTATTGTTGTTTCCTACCCGGAACACCCGGAACCCCTCCCGGAACACCCGGAACCCCTCCCGGAACACCCGGAACCCCACCCGGAACACGCTGGAATACGAGCTATGAAGCAACGCACGTGTTTCTCTATAAATTCACGTGTTTCGCATTAAATTCGGGGTGATAGATCGTTACGATCTTTACTTTTTACTTGTATTGTTGTTTTTTTAAATAATTTTTCTCATGGGCAAGGATAAATATATTATGTCGGGCGGTACAGAATATCAAATGCATGAGTATTGCTTGTTTGTAAACGTGCAAACGAAGTTTCGCTCGAGGCTTTTGCCGCATGTACTATATTTCAGTTTCGTTTTCAATATTCTGCCGTACTATGTACCTGTGACTCTATTCTAAATTTAGTTGAACAATAACCAATATTTAACTTTGCTATCTTTTTTATTATTTGAATAATATGTTTGCATATGGTTATTTGCAATTCAGCAATTGTATGAAACGGCGCCATGTAAGGAATTATAAAGTTCATCCGTATTTATTATATACAATACGAATTCTCGTGGTTTGTGGGAAATTTTTCATGGATTTCTTTACTAGACTTACTCGCTTTTTTGAACTTTGAAAGACATTTTAGTAATTTAGAGACTGTTTTGTATATGACAATGACTACAGCCTACAGTATTAAATATTGGTTATTGTTCAACTAAATTTAGAATAGAGTCACAGGTACATAGTACGGCAGAATATTGAAAACGAAACTGAAATATAGTACATGCGGCAAAAGCTTCGAGCGAAACTTCGTTTGCACGTTTACAAACAAGCAATACTCATGCATTTGATATTCTGTACCGCCCGACATAATATATTTATCCTTGCCCATGAGAAAAATTATTTAAAAAAACAACAATACAAGTAAAAAGTAAAGATCGTAACCATCCATCACCCCGAATTTAATGCGAAACACGTGAATTTATAGAGAAACACGTGCGTTGCTTCATAGCTCGTATTCCAGCGTGTTCCGGGTGGGTTCCGGGTGTTCCGGGTGGGGTTCCGGCTTTTTCAGACACCCATAAATTTCAGCGTTTTGATCCCCCTGTGTACGAAATAGCGTGTTTTAAAATTGACCATTTGATATTCAAGATATTCAAATATATTTATTGAGAACTGTTCCGGGAGGGGTTCCGGGTGTTCCGGGTAGGATTCCGGGTGTTCCGGGTGGGGTTCCGGGTGGGTTCCGGGTGTTCCGGGTGGGGTTCCGGCTTTTACAGACACCCATAAATTTCAGCGTTTTGATCCCCCTGTGTACGAAATAGCGTGTTTTAAAATTGACCATTTGATATTCAAGATATTCAAATATATTTATTGAGAACATTACATTATATAATTAATTAATATTATGTATAATTAATATGAACTCAAATGGCATAAGCACAAACGAGACGCGAAGTCCCATGCAAGGTGCAAACCCCGAAGCAGCGAATACGTACATAAATATAAATACACACATACATAGAATACAAATATATAAAAGCCGCTTCCCCCTATTAGTATGCACCATGAACACAACCACCTGAATGCTTCACGGATGTGTTAGCAAAATAATTTCAAACTCACAAGCATAATGAATGCTTCACGGATGTTTTAGCATAATAATTTCAAACTCACAAGCATAATGTGGTTGCATTCAGTGAACACAATAAGAGGAACCGTCTATTAAAACTACTTAAGATCTGTGGCAGGGGCAGTCCCGCACCAGTGTCCATGTGCATGGCATGTCCACGTCAAATGTTGCCGTAACCAAGTTAGCGTAAGTGGCTTTAAGAGATCTTTTGAAGATGGAGAGGCTGGCAAAGGTGGTAGAGGGAAGAATTTTGCAGACGTGGTTCCATAACTTGACAAGCCGGTTGAAATATGAGCATTGAAATGTTTTGGATTTACAGAAAGGAATTTTGAGTGTGAGAGAAGGATTTCGACTAAGTCGTGTTCGGCCATTGTTGACAAATGAAACGAAACTATGCACGTCAAGATCAATATGTCCATACAGTGCCTCAAAAAAGAACACTAAGTCTTTTATTTCTCTTTCGTAGCACAGGGGTAATAAGCCAAGGGTTATCAGCCGCTGTTTATATGCAATTTCTCCGCGCTTGGCTTGCAGCATCCAAGAGGTGGCTCTCCTTTGTACACGTTCCACTGTGGATCTCATTTTGATGGTAGGTGGAGACCAGACTTCGGTGGCGTAACTTATCTGGGACTTCACGAGTGACAAGTACAGCGTCCGCCTCACTGCGGTGTTAGTCAGTAGAGGGCAAGTTCTTTTCAGCATGCCAAGCATCTTGTTCCCTTTGGCGGTGATGGTATGAACATGATCGTCCCATGAGAGGTTGTAATTTATGAATACACCAAGATCTTTTTCCTTATTCACACGAGTAAGTTCCTTTGAGCCCATGTGATATGCGTACGTCAGCGGGGTTTTTTTCCCTTGTAATTGTCAACACCTTACACTTCGACTCGTTAAAATTGAGGTTGTTGTCACGGCTCCAGCAGTCAAGGTCTGTTAAAGCTTGTTGCAAACTTTCACAGTCACCTACTGATGTGATGGACTTGTACAGTTTGGTGTCGTCTGCATACAAAGCTGCCAAAGTCTCGTCAGGTAATATGTCGGGAAGATCGTTTATGAATATCACAAACAGAATAGGACCCAGGAGACTGGCTTGCGGCACTCCAGATGTAACTGGCACCCAATTAGATGTAGCTCCATCAATCACAACCCTTTGACGACGACCACTGAGATAGTCCGCGAACCATTCATATAAATGACCTGACACACCGTATGACGCAAGCTTGTGGAGGAGAATTTGGTGATCGACAGAGTCAAAAGCTTTCGCAAAGTCGAGGTAGATAACGTCAGTTTGAACGTTTTTGTCAAGGGATTGACAAAAATATATATCTTATCTCATTCCCAAGTTATCGCACTTTCTATATTTTGAGTTAAGTTGTGATGTCACTAGTTTTGACTCAAAATTGTGGCAATAACAAGAAAATCTGATATCTTGATGATCATTTAATAAAATTCAATGAAAATTGGCACACTTAGGGGGTGCAACGAAGTAAACAATTTGGCTTGTTTGTATGGTTGTTATGGCAACACACTCGTCCCCAGTCTCTTCTCTTCCAATTTCTATATGATCCATTCAGGCAACGAAATAAATAGTAATTTCTTCAATTGTTGCTTATTACTATAACACGTGTAGGTATTGTGATCAGTTTAAACCGTGATAACATGCAAAAATCCTCTGCAAGAAGTCTACAGGAGGAAATTTGTGAAAAGGAAGAGAAGAGACTGGGGACTAGTGTGTTGCTATGATAACCACATGACCTGCCAAAAATATTCATATGGGTGCACCCACTAAGTGTACCGAGTTTCATTGAATTTTATTAAATACTCACCAAGATATCAAACTTTCTTGTTATTACCATTATCTCGCCTACATTATCTCAAGTCAAACTACAATCGCGTGCAAAAATAATGAGATTCTTCACATTTTGGTGATCTTTTTCACGTGCGATCCCCCCTCCCCCATTAACAATGTTGAAAACATATTATTGATAAGCCCTGGCCTCAAAATCGTTTTAACAACATTGCACAAGGGGGAGGGGGGCAAGAACCATTGTTACAGGAGGAGGGGGCCAATACGGCTGCACTACTCTAGCGACGTTTGCATTGACACCGACGTTCCAATTTTGGCAACTTTAAGCAACGCAATTTTCTACTACGGCAGAAACGGACAGATTGACGAACGCGAAACTGCTTTGTTTGGTGGGAGGTCTGAGTTTACCCGGAAGATTCCGCAGGCGGAGCAGAAAGACCTGTCTCCGTACCCACGCTGTTTTGACGAACTGGTGTTTTTGGATGAACAGTTTTAACTTTTTTTATGCAGCCATCATTGCACATTTACTCTCAAAGAAATATATAAGACTAGATAACACGTTACGCACACGTTACGCACACGTTACGCCACACGTTACGTTTGAGTTTATATAGAATATTAATGAAAACCGACACGTTACACAGGTTACGCCCCATTCTTATAAAGGTAGAATAGTTAATATATTAGGCGTAACGTGTGTAACGTGTCAGCTTTCTATAGATTCTTATATACTGAAAGGCGTAACGTGCATGTGGCGTAACGTATGCGTAACGTGTTGAAATTGAGTTCTATTTAGTTTGTATGCATGTATAAGGCCTTCAAAATAATTTTCACGGAGGCAATAAATCGTCGAGTTTTCGCATAGTACTTTTATTGAATATGCATGGTAGAAGTGTGTAGTTAATACATTCGTCACTATTAAGCATCTAAAACAGTTTTTGAAGTCAAAAGGTACTGCCAATATAAACGGTATAAATAAGGAAAAACATTGTAATATAGAAACACTTAATAAATTTAATGCTTTAATCGTTCTACTCGTTTCTCACTGATCATTGCAACACACTTGTTCATCGATATACTAATAATTCAGTTCATAGTACTCTTTGACAAATTCATCGTCGTGCTTTTAACTCTTTCGGAAAATTGTTAAAACTATTCTGACGTGATCTGCTTGTCAATGACAGCTTGTCCTAACTGTTTTGATCAGATACTCAAGCGGGACGCGTTTAATTTATGAACTATTTACGGTTATTTATGACGTCACGATGACGTCATTGTGACGTCACAATTTTACACACTGTAGGGAAAATCCTTAGGCGCACACCAAACACATAGTAACAGTAAGCAAAGGCTATTATGATTCTTATTTACAGTAAAGCGAAATAACCGTATTAAAATTATCATGACTCGAAACTACATAGACAGTAGTGACGTCGCAACTAAAAATATAGTGCGATAACGTACTTGAGAATGAGATGAGATATGAAGAAACTGTAAACGTCATTCTTCATCGCTCTAGCAGTACTTTTTAGCAAAACAATAAAAAATGAGGTGAAAATTTCGTTTCATAAGCACTTTAACAGCTATCAGCACCAAAGAAATTCTCACTTTGGTTGAATTAAGGTCGGCAAAAATTTGCCGACCTTGGAATGCCGACCTCGTTTTCGAGAACTGATTTTGCCACGTCTTGCTGACGTAATAAGTGATCGATACCGACAAAGGAAAAGGTCGCTTCGTGCGAAAAAATTCGCTAGTGGAAAACCGACCGCTTTATTTCCTCTTTTATAGAACAGTATAATAAGCAACAACAACTGAACAACAACAATAGCAACAACCAAACAAATTTAATTAGAAAGAATTTGCATTGCTGCATGTGTGGTTTCTTTAATGCATGCTAGTCGTGATATTCGGTTTGAATTCAATTATTCAGGAAGTCAATTTTGGTTTCTTCAGTGGTTATCTTTAGCCAATCCAGTTTTGCCGACTGAAATAATAATTTGCCGATTTGCTGACGAGTGTGTGGGGGGGGGGGGGTGTTCCACCTCCCACACCCCCTGTAGCGCCGTCCCTGATTCCAGAACGTAAAATACGCACGGTTCAACTTAGGCCAGTTGTGCATGCATGCTCGGTTTCACTGTCTTCCTTCTGTTTTCGTTGTGTTCAATGTCACTGATTATATTTTTCGTGAATTCCAGTCGCTTCGACCCCTCGACCCCTAAATTTACATTTTCCCCGCGTTGACATTAGGACTATCCTAACTATGGACTATCCCACCGAAAAATATATTGTTACATCGGCATAATTAGTCTGATATTCGTAGCTCGAGATTAATTTAGAGGGCCCCCCTTAGAGTTAACGGTTCAAGTCAGAGTTCAAGTTACGGTAAAAACTAAAAGTTAATTAGTCACGGTTAATTATCAAACATTCTTCTTACATTCACTCTTTTGACAATGAACAAACCATGGCTTACGTTTTACCTGTTTGAAAGAATTTCAACTACTGCAATGGCTCACTGTGAAAACTGAATTCGCCACTGAATTTGTCAATTTGATCAAGTTGTTTATAATCTACAATCCTGGCAAAAATTATTGTGGACAGCGCGCATGGAAATGGAAATACCTGCCCTGCCAATAGTACGTGCAAAAACAGCAACATGTAACTTTCCCCTCCCGTTCAATGCTGAAAGCTTATAAATTGGTTAGGCGAAAGCTTTGTGAAATGCACATCAAAAGTAACAATACATGGGGGAGCAGCAGGGCATTTTTTAAGAATTCGTCAGTGGGGGGGGGGGGATCTACAAAAAGGGACCAATACTATACCGAGTATGGAAAAATAATAGATGGTTTGTTGGTAACAAAAAATTTGGTGTAGTATCGCATTTAATAGTAGAAAGAGGTTGAGGGTATTCTCCCCCAGAAAATATTTGTATTTTTCTACCCCTATGACTGCAATTCCCTGCATTTTCTGAAACAGATTTTTGGATATACAGCATTACATTTTGCTCTGAGATAGACTGAACCTTCAGTTAAGTACTTGCATAGTATGATTATGTAGATGCCAAAACTTGGCCGTCACGGGGAGCCAGCTTGATAAACTTGGAGGGACCGCCTCCCATGAAGCGCCACCTTATGTAGTTGGCATAGAGTGGAAAAAATTTGAAAATTTTGCGTCTCTAAATCGTCGGAAATGGCATTTTCAAAGTCTTCTCTACCTGTTTTGTTAGGCCCTTTCATTAATTCGTTCATTATATGATTTGTGAGTCTATGCTATCCGCGAGTCACAATGGATTATTACGAGAAATGTTATTATCAAAATATCGATTACAGATATTTGATTATATATATATATATATATATATATATATATATATATATATATACGATTTCAAAATCAATTGGTTTTTTTTGGTGGGGGGCCAAAATTATTCCCCTCTTATAAAGCACTGGGTTAGGGGCCCGTTGCCTCTGCAGTCACTAACCTGTTTAGCCGAGCCTTCCAACAACTCAAATCTATACGGTCTGGGAAATGCAATCCACTGGAAAATGTTCTAATAAGGTATTTACAACACAATGTTTAGCATTAAAGTAAAAGAATAGACATAAGATTCACAAAGCAAATTTCAGTTACTAGAATATCAAACCTCCCCTCTAAATTTCATATTTTGCTTATATTTTAGAGAAAAGGGACTTTGACTGGGGGGGGGGTTGAGTGGGGGGGGGCACCATGGGTGCTGGGGGCGGGTGTCCCCCCAGTTATATAGTTAAAAAATGCCCTGGGGAGCAGGGGAGACAAAGAGGTCAACATGTGTATGTGAATAATACTTTAGTTTGCGTAATACTTCAGTTTGCAGTTTTCACTGACAGCACCTAAGTGCCTCGGCCGAATTTTTGCCATGATTGTACGTAGATACTTAGAAGATACTGGCAGATGATAGCGAACTCCCGGAAAGCGGAAAAAAAGAAGAAAGGGAAGCTCATAGATATAAATCTATAAAGTTATAAACCATCTTTGAATTTTTTACAATACATATGAGCATCTTCATGAACTTTTAGTGTTCGTAAGTCTATTTTATTTTTTCAGCGTTTTTTCACCAGGAGCAGATGCGAAAAATGCAACTATAAGTCGTCTGGTAGGAAATCTTCTATCGAGCTAAACATACTGGAATCTATATATATACAAGAACTTGTGGTTAGCACAGTTTATTAAAGCGCTGTATATATTGGAAAAAGGAAACGCTCAGGGGGATGTTTGATTGCTGCCAGAGACCCTATAGTTGCAGCACGCGGTACAGGCTATTCTTGCATTTTTCATATTTCGCAACTGCTCCTGGTTAGGTCTACACGATTGTATCTAATCATCCGCATAAAATGTCCATCCACCAAAACCCTTTGTTTAAAACACACGCCGTATTTACAAATATATGGATCGTATTTTAGTACATGTATGTAATTATAATATGATAACAGCAAAAAGAAATTTTAGAAATCTGGAAATTTCTAAAATACTTATGGAAACACGAAAGGGGACCACGTGACCAATGTCGTGCCATCGATAGCAACAACAACAAGCTTGACAACAACATAGTTTCTCACGTTTTAATTATTTTTGATGCTTTATTTTTTCTATTTTAATGCACAACAAAGCAAGATGGATGTCAATTTACGAATGAATGTCTGTGTATCGATGCTCAGTGATTCATGTGTAAGGTAAGAAGTAAAATCTTGACCTTGTGCTTGCATAAATAATTATCGTCATATAATATTTCGCAAAACCAGGACGTAAACTTAATGGGGTTTATATTTGGCGCATGTTTTAATTTTTGACAAAACGGAACGCAATTTATGTATCAAATACGTGCTTATTCCATTGAAAAAAGTTTGTCTGTATCTGTGAGATAAAGACTGACTTTGGATGCCATTTTTAAGGCAGGTTCATATATAAAATAGATATAATTTTAGATAGCCTGTGTACAGACGTTACTCTCCACGAAGCGCGCGAGAGAACGTCTGTGAGTTGGAGGAAGATTACTTGTTCTGGTCACGTGGATTTTCCACAGATTTGTGGAAAGGCCTCTGATTGGTCATGCTTTATTTGAATAATATATCACAAATGAAGATATTTCATTGGTTAATTGATAATAGACCTTATGGATAATGATGTCACATGGCTTGATGCCTGCAAGGAATGCTGGTCTTAGTAGTCATCGCACGGGCAAATAAAACGATTCAAAATGGCTACTATCCCAGGGTGCATTCCATGTAGAGTGCATGCTGAAGTTCCGCCGCTGGAAAATTCGCACACGCTGCCAGACTGCCAGATTCAATTAATCTATATTTTGGCAAAATTTTTCGGCGACCTCCTCCCCCCCCCCCTCGCCAAAAAAATTTCGGTCAGCGTGCCATTTTAGGGGTCAATAATTTCCGGACATCCCAAAAGTTTTCATTGCATAAAACAATTTTTTCCGGCATTACCAAATTTTCTCCATTTATCCAACTTTTTTTCCTTAAATCCGAAAATTTTGTCAATTTAGCTCATTCTTCTCTAAATTCACACTTGTTTTTGTTAATTAACTTTCCCTGGGCCTGGAGGGGGGGTGTTACACCTCCCACATCCCCCCGGTCGGCACAGCCCTGCGCGCAAGTGGTTTTAGACACAATAAAACACGAGTCGCGAGTGTATTGAACGGCTTCAAAAACCAATTAGTATTCTTTATATAAGGAATACTAAGTAGGAAGTGTTTTATCAAATATGAAACCACTGCATGTAACATATTATACTTGATTTGGTTGGCAAAAAAGATCATGAAACTGTTAAGTTATCCGATAAACAATAGAGACTTAACGACGATATTTTCTGATTGTATTATATTAAGTTTGTATGCCGTTGAGGGAAAAAAAAGACTACGCCGGCACGCCAACATTAGCATTTGCACGCCGCTGCGCCGTAGGGCATCGCAACTCCACGCTGAAGATCTTCGGGTTTGGCTACATGGAATGCACCCTGGCTACTATCGAAATTTTCCCAGGCGATGACTACTAGGACCAACATTTCTCGCAGGCATCAAGCCTTGTGACGTCATTATGCACAGGCTTTTAGCCAGAAGGGCGTCCTGGGATGCCCATAGAACAAAAATGGACGCCTTTGGACACCCAAATTCTGGGGAAAAAGGGAAATTTATATTTTCATTGATTTCCCTAAGTATATTAATTAATATATCTGAAACAAAATAGCTCAATTCTCATTATATTATTATACATTTGACATTTTGATCAATTTGATGGTGTACCTGGTTGAATGAAAATGTCATAGTTAAGTAAAGAAGCATAGCGGCACAAACTCAGTACTCACAAAGCCAAGTGTGTTTGAAAAATTTCCACCGAGCTTGGAACAGATACTGATATGAAGTAATGTAAACTGCAAGAAGGTTTTTCAGAGGAACATTTTCTTGTAGGATCCTGGTTAAAAGCCTGATTGTGCATAAGGTCTATTAATTAACATGCGTTTAACATAACAACACAAAAATTTTTAAATTCACTGAGGTTTCCTCAAGAATTAAGATTTCCTTCAGGGCATACAAAGGTTTGAAAGACTTGAAATATAATCTGAAAAACGATACAGCAGAAATATATTGCATATAAGTTCTTTGTATGTTTGAATAGCAATAAAACATATAATAGTTTTGTTTGTGGAAACACCACATAAATTTCTTACTGCAAAGCTTTCGATCCGTAAGCCCGGATCTTCATCAGTGCTAATAATATCCGTAAGCCCGGATCTTCATCAGTGCTAATAATATGTATATTATTAGCACTGATGAAGATCCGGGCTAGCAGATCGAAAGCTTTGCAGTAATATATTTATGTGGTGTTTCCACAAACAAAACTATTATATGATTCTTGTGATGTTACTTTGAGTGTGTATATCCACACCGGGCTGGCTTGAAAAATATGCCTGGCCATGGTGGGAATCGAACCTACGACCTTTGGAATACCAGCCCAATGCTCTTCCAACTGAGCTACGCGGTCAGGTCGGTTCGAGTACATGTGATATTTCAGAACTGAGTATAGTTCCTTCGATATCAATGTAATCTAATAATCATGATATTTGCTGTGTTGGTGTAATGTACTCAGGTGAATAAGATGCTTGTGATGTTACTTTGAGTGTGTATATCAACACCGGGCAGGCTTGAAAAATATGCCTGGCCACGGTGGGAATCGAACCTACGACCTTTGGAATACCAGCCCAATGCTCTGCCAACTGAGCTACACGGTCAGGTCGGTTCGAGTATGTGATATTTCGGCATATTTTTCAAGCCGGCCCGGTGTGGATATACACACTCAAGTAACATCACAATTATTTTAAATGCATGCTAATTATTAGCCAATGAAATATCTTCATTTGTCATATATTATTCAAATAAAGCATTGTCCAATCAGAGGCCTTTCCACTGGAAAATCCACATGACCAGAACTGTCACAAGGAATCTTCATCCAACTCACAGACGTTCTCTGCTTCGTCGAGAGTAACGTCTGCACACAGGCTAATTTTAGACTGTGTACTGGGCAATTGAATAATTTTTGTGAACTTTAGAAAACTAAGTACAATTTTAAAAATTTATATTATGAAATATCATTGCTTGTGTGATGGCCAAGTGACCTTGATTTGAAATTCTGCACAGTTTAGGCAGCATTGCAAAGGCTTTAAGGCTGAGCATGGGGAGCCATGCATTCTTCTGCATTGATGGGTTAACCCATTCACTGATTTACAGTAGACAGTATTATGTGATGCCGTGGATAATTATTAATAATCCATGGTGATACTAGAGGGCACTCAGGGACTTCATACCTCCGCAGTGAATTATGAACTAATTAGGCATCCAGTTATACTCTGCCAGGCAAAGCAAGACAAACTTTTGCTAATTCTTATTCCAATTTTCATCATGCAAATTTAACCAAAATTTAATCAATTGGGCAAAGTCCATCTGTCCAACCAATTTTCATATTAGGGCAAATAAAAAAAAAAGGAGCGATTATAGAATACCCGTCCATTTTTCAAGCTATACTTGTTATGAAATGAAGTGACGTAATTATTATAAATGCGCGTTATTTAATAAGACTGGGCAAGGTATATTTTTCAATGATACGGATGATACGATGATACGAAGTGAAAAAGTGACGTAATTATTATAAGTGCGCGTTATTTAATAAGACTGGGCAAGGTATATTTTTCAATGATACGATGATACGAAGTGAAATGAAGTGACGTAATTATTATTAGTGCGCGTTATTTATTAAGACTGGGCAAGGTATATTTTTCAATGATACGATGATACGAAGTGAAATTAAGTGACGTAATTATTATAAATGCGCGTTATTTAATAAGACTGGGCAAGGTATATTTTTCAATGATACGATGATACGATGATACGAAGTGAAATGAAGAGACGTAATTATTATAAGTGCGCGTTATTTATTAAGACTGGGCAAGGTATATTTTTCAATGATGCGATGATACGATGATACGAAGTGAAATGAAGTGACGTAATTATTATAAGTGCGCGTTATTTAATAAGACTGGGCAAGGTATATTTTTCAGTGATACGATGATACGAAGTGAAATGAAGTGACGTAATTATTAGAAGTGCGCGTTATTTAATAAGACTGGGCAAGGAATATTTTTCAGTGATACGATGATACGATGATACGAAGTGAAATGAAGTGACGTAATTATTATAACTGCGCTTGCGAAGACTTTTAACAGTAGCGATGAAGTGACACTGTATGACATTCGATCGGTTTATTGTGATATATATGATCTTGACAGGTAGGTTTATTTAATAAGACTGGGCAAGGAATATTTTTCAGTGATACGATGATACGATGATACGAAGTGAAATGAAGTGACGTAATTATTATAACTGCGCTTGCGAAGACTTTTAACAGTAGCGATGAAGTGACACTGTATGTGTATGACATTCGATCGGTTTATTGTGATATATATGATCTTGACAGGTAGGTGATAAATGAGGTAATTAAGTAAGGCAGTTTGGTAATAGGAGAGGTTGTTACATTGCTGAAATGTTAGTGAAAGGAGAAAAAGCAATTTGAAAACACGCTACGTTAACAAGGAATACACGATAGTAGTGATATTTTGCGTGTTTTTATTGAGAACGAACAATACACTATAATAGTGATATTTTGCGTGTTTTTTTGAGAACAAAAAATACAGTATAGTAGTGATATTATGTGTGTTTTTATTGAGAAGGAATCAGGGCGCTTATATAGAGGGCGGTTGAGGGCGGTGAAACGGCTATAGGCGCGCCGATCGATGTGTGATGCAAAGGACTGGCAACGAGTTTGTTGTGGTTACTATGGCGACGTTGTCTTATATGGCAAGGATAAATATGGCGGGAAAACTGAGCTGGAAGTTTTGACTGTTTTGTAGTCAAGTTTTGATGAAGAAATAGATATTGGGGGTAAAATTCCGATGTTATACGATAATTTAGTAGATTCTGCTATTGTATTTTCCGGTAATACTGCCAATATTTTAGAGTTTTTGCTCAAAACGCTTGCGAAAGCTTACGAACGGTTGCTTTCGCAGGTTTTTAAAACTCTTCGGATGTACACGTATCGTTCACGTTCGATAGAATACAATTCACAATTAATGTTAGCCACTAGTTGATCTTTTCAGTTGAAAATCAAGAAATGCTCAACTTGAATTTGTATTTTTTTAACGAATCCTTACGAGAAGTTATCTTGGCAAGCCGGTCAAAAAAAATCAAAGTTGGGACGAAACTTTTTCGACTATTGCGCTCAACAAACGTCCGAGCGAGTCGTAATTTGATTCAAAGGCCAAGAAGTAAAATATGTTTACGGCTCAGAATTACTTCAATTGAATGCCTTAAAAGTCGTACAAAATTATTAACATAATAACCAAAAATCACGACATGGCCAAAATACAATTGTTGTTTATTTTTTTGCAGCGAAATAATGGTCCGCTAATTAGGCAAAATTTAACACACAAAAATACCTCACTTTCCAACGCTGTGTATTCAATTGCTCAACTCCGAGTCTTATGAAAACTTTTGGAGATAAGCACATAATTATAATCTTTACCATCAACTGAATTTCGAAGTTTGGACGACTTGATAACATGCCCAAATGCTGTTTTGAAAATTTCCCTTCATTGAAGTCATCAAAAGCCCGACTCATTATCCTCAATATTTCTTTCAAAATTCAACTATACGTGCCAAACAAGCATTCGTACGATACACTAGTTACTACTTCGTCGTTACAGTGCAAAAACATCCTTAAGAATTTCGTAGTTAATGAAAAAACAGCAAAAATACAACAGCAGGAAAAATCACGCTCCTTGTCAACTTTTGCCGAAAAGCACGCTCGTGCCAGTCCTTTTCCGCATCACACATCGATCAGCACGACATCAGCGCGTTTCACCTCCCTCTATATAAGCGCCCTGGAAGGAATATACTATAATAGTGATCTGTTGCGTGTTCTTTTAAGAGCGAGGAATACACTATAGTAGTGATATTTTGCATTAATTTCACTTCGTATCATCGTATCACTAAAAAATAGCTTGCCCAGTTTCACTAAATAACCGGAATTTATAATAATTATGTTTTTTAATTTCACTTCGTATCATCCGATCATCGTATCACTGAAAAATACCTTGCCCAGTCCTAATAAATGACGCGACTTATAATAATGACGTCATTATTTTCACTTCGTATCATCGTATAGTCTTTTTATAATAAGACGCTACTAAAATGATTACGTCATGACTTTCACTTCGTATCATCGTATCACGAAAATAAAATAGTCACAAAAGTGGACGGGTATTCTATAATCTAGCCAAAAAAACAACTTGGTTAGCGTCACCGCCCGCCTCTCGATTTCTGTTAAAAAACTTTTTTATGTAAATCTCTTCGTTTTACAGCTTAAAACAATTTAATATTTGAAATTTTTCTCATGCTCAGACCTTCGCGCTATATACTGATCGATAGGAGCGCGTGGGCTTGAGTATACAGGCTAGGTTCTTATAGCAAAATGGCGGCCTTCGCAACATCAGTACAAAAAATATCCGACCGATATGGTGGAAAAACCGCCCATCCCCCCAAAAACTACTATTAAAAAATTAAAAAATTAAAAAACGAGTAAAAATTTAAAAAAAAGTGCCCTCCCGCCTCTGAAAATTTGTGAGAGTGTGACGCTAACCAAGTATTTTTTTTATTTGGCCTAATATGTTTGATAGCTGTTTTTGTGCTGACAGACAGACAGACAGACAAACACACACAGACACACAATGTCAAATATTATACAGGTTTTGTGTGCTAAATTAGCTTTTCTTCTCTAAGCATGTAATTGTAGTCACTGGTGTATTTAACCTGGGTCAAGCATCCTACGAAAGGCTTGCATCAGGTACAGTAAGGATGCCATCTTCGACTGTTTACAGTATTAACTGACAGAGATAGTGAGATATGACTTACTTATATTATGCTTATATTAAGGAATACAAAACCAAGAACAGAGTATTGATAATAATTCAAAATAAATTAGTCCAAATTTTGTTGATTCAGCGTTATACAAAAATACTTGTGATTCCGGGTTCATATCATGAAAAAATTAGGGTAGGTAGGTTGGAAATCATTTTCTAAAATATTTTTTTTCATGGTTTTGGCGGTTTTTTGCTGGGCGATTCTAAATTCGTCCATAGGAAATTTCTTATGGACGAATTTAGGCAATTTGTACTTGGTTCAATAATTATTGTGATACGCCATTTTAGCACGCTGTATGAGCAGCCCGCTGGCGCAACCACCTGGAGAAAATAGGGTCGCACGGTCAATCGCGTCGAAAACATAATAGTGTCGGCAGAAAAAAATAGGGTCGGTCGGGAAACCGCGGAACCACATGTATTCTTTTTAATCTTTAAAGTGAGTGTATGTCGTAGACAGACTTGGTGGAACTATTGCTCCACATGGTCCATGAAACGAGAGAAGGAATTGGGAACTGTGAATTTGGAATTTTAATCATGCATGTGTTTGTAAGATGCTCCCATGATGGCAATGATGCTAATTTCGGTACCATGCTATCTACTGTGCAAGCTATGTGCCAGCTAAATACTATGTGGCAAGTCTGTCAGATGAGTGCCCTGAGGTATATGAATTCACAGGAAATGGCAGATTTTCAGTTCATTTGAGTGAAGAGTATTCTTTCAAAATAATTCCTGTAGATAAGAAACAGTAAGTAAGAACAGCCACACACCTCGTGGGGAATCATCCAATTATTGCGCATAATGCAAAAGATGAAAAAATATCGGCTGCATAGGTACTGTAGATCAAATCAAGCTTTGGACAAATCCATTCGTGGGCCATATGCAGCTGTCCAGCATTTTTACAGAACCAGTTGCATCCAGAACTATTGTAAAATTGCTTATGACCTATTGCACATGCGTAACGAAGTTGATTTCGAGACCCACTTTGACTCGCAGCCCTCAACAGTGAAGTTTCACTGTGAAGACACGTTCAAAAACAGAAGTCAAAAACAGTTGAAAAAACCTTTGTTCAAAAACAGTTGAAAAAACCTTTACTGACTTAACGAAAAACACGTGCGATTTTTTCTCTCGCGCCGGCAATGCAACAGGTCAAATTTCATTGCGTTCAAATTTCATTGCCGTCGCATGTATATCATGTTCGTAATGTATTTGTAACTTGATACTTTGGTAAAATGACTTTTCGCAATGTTGCCGAAAATATCAAATTACAGCTAGTTAGCAGGCAACGAAAATAGACTCTTTCGATAATTACGTCACACATACTTTTTGGTCTTGGAGCCTCGCTCTCATTAGTAAATTACGCAAGGTGATTGGCTCAGATCCATGAGAGCCAGGCTCCCAGGCCAAATGATGTAATTATCGAAAGGGTGTATTGGTTCATTTGACAAATGGACTGGCGAGAAAATGAAGAAATACACAATTCTCAATACCTGGCGAAATCAGTTAATCTCTAAAACGTCGTTGCTTTGGTGCAGTCAAACAATAAGTACAAATTCATGCACTTACAGTACATTAAACGCATATGTTGGGATATTTGAATTGTCTATTTTGGCGACATAATATTTTTGGTTTCTATCCATCCGACAGCAATCAAATCTCCCTCTGCTTCCGCAGGAAGCAACACTGACTTTCCTCGCAAAACAAGCAAGTTGGAAAAGAATCAGAGAAATCAGGGTTTAAAATAAATAATTTAAATTTAGATATATTTGTAGGCTGTTTGGCGCGTGTACCTTTTTTGTACCGGCGATTTTCTTCAGCTTCTCAGTGATAAGTCGAACATGAAATGATTAAGAAGAAAAACGCGTTGTTGCAAATTTAGAAGTTGCCGGCTAGTGCTGTGAAAATGCCGGTGACAGGCGGCTGCTATTTTAAAGCCTGGAAACGTTGTTTATTTTGATTTTGTGTATAAATTTCTGCATCACGTGAGCGTGCGGAATGCACACGGGCTCGTATTGATGGCTATTAATCTTTGATCGTCATACTGTGCCGATTAATGTTTAATCGGCACAATTTTTAACCAATCAAAATCGAGTAAATTGACTAAAATGATATTATCCGGTAAATATCCGGCCAAGTTTTGCCGGACACCGGATATTGCTGGATGCCTATTTTTTACCGGATACGATTATCTGGATCCGGCACATCTGTGTTATATACCACTTGGTATCCATATTCTATTCCAGAACCATCCTCAGAGATAACGAAAAACCAGTTTCATATTATTCTGACACTGCAATCGACCAACGAAAAATTCGTTGGCTCGAGCGGGATTTGAACTCGCATCTTCGGGTATCTAGACCGCCGCTCTACCCATTGAGCTATCGAGTCAACGGGGATTGGTAGCGAGTCTTATCCAATTCAAGTGCACGAAATATTTTCGTGACGACTTAACGCTTGTCTTAGAGGACGCGCAGTGTTTCAATTCTATTTCAGAACCATCCTCAGAGATACGAAAAACCAGTTTCATATTATTCTGACACTGCAATCGACCAACGAAAAATTTGTTGGCTCGAGCGGGATTTCAACTCGCATCTTCGGTTTTTCGTATCACTGAGGATGGTTCTGAAATAGAATTGAAACACTGCGCGTCGTCTAAGACAAGCGTTAAGTCGTCACGAAAATATTTCGTGCACTTAAATTGGATAAGACTCGCTACCAATCCCCGACTCGATAGCTCAATGGGTGGAGCGGCGGTCTAGATACCCGAAGATGCGAGTTCAAATCCCGCTCGAGCCAACGAATTTTTCGTTGGTCGATTGCAGTGTCAGAATAATATGAAACTTGTTTTTTTGTATCCATATGATACGCAGAATAGCGCAGCACGTTTGATAGCAAGACGTAGAAAATTTCATTATATTACCCCTGTTACGAAAGAGCTGCATGCACTAGCTTCCCGTCAGCCAACGTATCATTTAGAAGATACTTCTCATCACTTACAAGGCTCTAAATGGTATTGCACCAAGTTACATTGGGAATATGCTACAAGCGCTCAAATCAACAATGAATCTACATCGATGAAAGGACGTCTCTCAGTACCTCGTTGAGATAAAGTTGGTCAACTATGGTCATTTTCATGCATATGCCGCGCCAAAACTATGGAATGAACTTCCAGATTCAGTACGCCATAGTGAATCGATATCTACTTTTAAAACAAAATTGAAGACATATTTATTTAAAACAGTAGACTCTAAAGCGCATTCTCTTGAATTGGGACGCTTCAGCACCCGAATAACAATTTTCACAGAGTATTTGTGTTGACATATTTTGATAGAAAACTTTGTCTAGTGAAAATTGCTCAACTTCTTCTGCGGAATAGCAGTTCTCTGAGAAGCCAATCAGATCTCTCCCTTTGGTCGTCTAACCCAGAGTCTAATTTGCAACGAGTGACTGAGTGAAAATGGCTCTGGGGATGAGAATGATAGTCACATTTCTGCCTTGTTTGTGCTGTATATCTAATTGACGCCTGGTATCTAATTGACGCCCGGTCAAATCAGCATTTTGTGATTGTGTTTATTAATTGGCCATATTTAATAAACACACCCCATAAAATTAACGTTTATTAAAAACCCATAATAGATTAATTATTTGCTATGAATATGACATAACCTTACAGTCAATGTTTTTGTGTTTCAGGTGAACATGTGATATGAAAAAGTTTGATTAGAGCAAAATCGTTACATAATGGAATTAGACGAAAGGCTTCGCTGGATTGAAATCCGGGTTGCCTCATCACTGAAGCCAAGAGCAGAGGAACTCAAACGGCTTTTTTCAAATAAAGAGAACAGGTAGATATAAAGATTTTATTTAATTCAACTTTGCGAAAATAATTGACTAGTGAGGGGTTGCCAGGAAGCAACGAACCACGTTTTTTTTGCTTTAGTTCAACCATAATAAGGGGCGGACCATTAGAAAAGTGATGGCGGGGGGGGGAACTTTTTCAACTTGTGCGAATATTTCTTTAACATTTTTTGCTTGTGTCGATAATTTTTTGAAATATAATCCCTTACACGTTTTTTTTTTGTTTTTTTTTTGTTTTTTTTTTTCAAAGTTTCTTGGTGCACGAATATTTGTTCTTTCTAGTGTTTCCCCTGCGCGATTTTTATTTTTGCTTTTTCCCCACCCCCCATCACTTTTCGAATGGTCACCCTAAGTTATAGAGTAAGTGACTATTCACAGACTTGTAGATGCAAGATTGTAACCTAACCCGCTTTCGATCAAAAATCCGGCCAAATTGGGGTCCCAGTGCGGGTAGTTTCGAAGATTGAAGGATTTACTTAGTTGAAAAAGATTGAAAACACTAACTAAAGATTAAATTTTGCGGTAGTTACACCCTTCTGCGAACATCAATTGGTAAATTTCGTTTCTTAGGGAGGTGATGTTTGAGTTTTGCAACAATGAAGAACGTCGTTTTTTGATGATCTTCTCCTCCAACGTTCCTGGGGAAGGCTTGATTGCCTCTTTTAAAGCACCCAAACACCTCGCAGAAAAAGCGATGTTTTTCTGCAAGACAAACCAAGCAAACAAACTATTGAGGGATAATATCGCGAACGATGTTGGGTTTTGTGACTGCTCGCGAAAACCTTTAAAACACTTGAAACGTCTTGTGAAGGATGTGTACTTGCCAGTGTTGAGTATTGAACATGGTGGAAGTGTGAGTGCTGATAAACTTATGGATCTCCTGCATCGGGTTGTGGCAAATCTACATGTCTTTGATGGCAATAATGAGGTATAGGCTGTTATTATATACCAATAGTCAAAGTCGCATTTTTCTAGTGTTTTATTGGTCGAGAGCATATCACATGAGAGTTACGAAATTAGACTGTTTCCCTCGCAACAGCGCGAGAGGGAAACAATGCGTTATCGACCGGCGACGTGCGCCATGACGTGAATGTGCGACCTTTGGACATGCCTAGTAATTTACATGTAAACTTTCGCTTTAAGTAACTGTAGTGTTAAATTTAATGTTTTAATAAAATATTTCATATAGTTACGTTCATTTGTTCTTTAATTTGTTGTTTCTTTGACTATTGATATATAATAAAACACTTATTTACTGAGACCTCGGGAAAGCAGTGTGTTTTGTGGAAACACACTGTTTCCCTCGGTCTCAGTAAATAAGTGATAATTGATTTATTTCAACTGATTAAGATTTTGGGCAATACTTTCCTTGTCTATATTATGGCCTGCAGTTACCCATGGACACATTTTAATATATAAAACCATATGGAGAATTTGATAGGTTTTAGTTGCCCAATGTACAGGTAGTTTCTGGAGATCTAGGCACAACACACTTATCATGCAAAGATTACGACTTGGATCCCTTACCCTACCCGTTACTATAGTGTATAGAAAAGGTGCGGGTGTAGATTGTTTTCCTTTCTTTTTTTGTTGTAGAACAAGGTTGCTCTTTCACTTCCATGTATCGAGGTACTTTCTGAAGCTGCAGCTTTTAGTGGTCGTCGACCAGCAGTTATTCACGTTTTGGAAACAACAGTCGTTAACTGGATTAAGCAAATTAAGGTGTGAAAATTGTTAGTTTTACTATTGCCTATCACGTTACGTTAATATATATGCATGCATGGCCACTTACAGTGAAATAATAACCTGAAATCAACATGACTCTATATGTGGAAAAGTATTTACAGAAAAATTCAAGTTGCCAGTATTATGTTAGTAAAAAGAATGTTGGCGAAATAAAACGTTGGGGAAGCTACTGATAGGAAATATTGTTGCAGAAATACTTGATGTTTCATTTTCCCCCCTTTGCCTACTTTTCATTTGAACAAATTTGTTTCCCACGAAGTAAACAACGATTTTTAACAAGTTCACAACGGAAACAATATTTTCTGTTTTTAAATTTATTCGTCCATGCATGGAAGATCGTGTTCATTTCAAAAAGAAAACAGTCGTGTTTTATAAGGTCAAGGTATATATAGAGTATACAGCATCGGTGTGGATCATCCCTAGTCATCCCGGTGCATCCCTATAGTTATGACCTAGAAGGGTGGTACATAAACGTTAATGAATCATCATGTTTTGAACAGAGATGACCGTTACGTTAGTTATGTCCCAAGAGAGTATAGCTGGCGGATTTAAAGGGTTCGGGTTGAGGCGCGGACAGCGAAAAATTAGGGGCTAGATAACCACCTGGATCTCCCCCTTGTTCGCCGATGACATCTTCCCTCGACTGTATAAAGAGCTACGTTACAACCTTATAAGATCATCTCTGATAAAGAGCGGAATGTCAAAACGTTGAGTCGTACTATATATACGTAAGACCCGGTTGAGTCGACCGAGCTTTCCAGTTATTTACTTAAAGAAGAGTAGCGAGCGAAAATGTGCCTGACACTCTCTTCTCCGCAGAGGAGAAGAGAGCCTCTGTTGGCTATGATTACGATTAGTATTGAGATACATTTCACTACACTTTCCATGGCGGATCTTGGAACACGAGCGGAGCCGCTGAGCGAAGGAGCGCAGGCGGGAAAGGGCGCCTGACGTTTAAAGCTCGTTAATCCAAACACGATTTTGTCAGTGACTAGAAACTATATATTGGCACGTTAAGAAATATATAGCACTTTTAAATGAACTGTTCCTTTTCAGGTTGCTTTAAAGCTAGATCCTGAAGCCGAGATCACAAAATACGGAAGAACTTTTCCCGGACCATTAACTGAAATTGAGGTAAAACATAAAATAATTATATATTGTAATATATTAGTATTTTTTCCTATACTTGTTAAGAACTACTGGAAACAATTTCTAGTAAGGCAATAAGGTCCGCGTTAATTTGACGTCATTGTAAGAAAGGTCTATACACGTTGTAATCATTGCCTACTTTAAAGAATAGGCTTATTTAAGGCTAACATACAAAATTACAAAATTTAAAGCAAACTTTATATTAGCGACAAAAACGACTGACTATAGCCTCATTTTGTTACTCCTTGCAGATTTGAATAACTTGGCAATACTTTTTTATTTTTAAATCATGTTAAAGAAATGTTTAAATGAATGATTTCAACTTAACGATTATTTAGGATAACATACAAAATAGAGAATTATTGCAGACTATTGTATTGGCAGCTATACTCCAATCGGTTTAGTTATATATGTTGTAGAAATAAGAATCTGACATTGTTTTCCTTGAATGTGCAATTTACAGATGTGGTCTGGTCATTTAAGCAGGTTAAATTTCATTAATGAACAACTACGATCACCTGTTGCTGTTAACATTATCATGAACCTGGAAGATGCCAATAGTACGTATGGACAGAGTTTTCATTTGGTTAAGAAGGAGTTAATTAAGGTTTGTACCACTGCTGTTTAAGTCTTATACGGCTGCTTATTTTGCATCTTGAATTTCTTCAAAGGGTAAAAGTCAAAATTATGACAGCAAACTCACAGTCGAGTGAAAGATATACCTGGTATTAATTTGCTTCTTGGTACAGTAAAAAAACATTAAAAAAGTTAACTTATGTGTAGCAAAACCTTCTACCGTGCAACTGTAGAAGCTTTTGCCTACTGCGATGTATAAGCGTGTTTCATACTGTAGGTCATCCTCATCCTGCACTATATTTTTGTGCTTTCTGACTGTAGTCCGATCGACGTTTGCCTCCCGGAGGCAGTTAGATGGGAGGAGAACGTTTGATGACCATTGCTTTTTCTACATCTATAGGCTGAAGCTGAATGCCATGAGAATCTTCAATACTTGGGAACACTGGTTCCTTGGTTTAAAAAACTTCATCACGCAAACTCTCCGTCATTGATGTTGAGAATATTTCCGCCATTGATGCACACACTCTATCTCGTTTGGGTACACTCCAGGTATACTAAACATAATTTATATTATATTTTGCGTTATGGACTAAAATTCTCCTTTCTTAAAGAAACATCGAATAGAAGATATTAATCATTACAATTAACTAAAGGCTAATTTCCACTCCGGAAAATAAGCAGCGGATCGAACCGGATCGGCGGTTTTTCTGATCCGGTCCCATCCAACAAGCGATTTCCAGTAAAAGGACAAGTGGAATGATCGGATCGGAAAAGAAAAAAATGGAGCTCGTTCCAGTCTCACATCCTCCATTTTGTAAATTTTATACAGGCATTATTTAATTATTTTAATTTATGTGAGATAATACGGCATTTTGATTGGTTGACATGTTTATTCCGCGGGACCGGACCAAAAAAAGTTGAAAGCATTTCAACTTTTTACTATCCGGCCAGCAACGTCGCCGGATTAATCGGAACATGGCGCATGCGCGGATTTTGCTTTGTTCCGATCCGGTCCGATCCGCTGCTTATTTTCCGGGGTGGAAATTAACCTTAACAGTTTCGAAAGAATATTTTTACATTATATTTGCAGTACATTTCCAACCAGACCAATATTTGCACAAAGCTTTTGGAGCCCTGATCTTTGTCACTGCTACAGTAGATCATCAGTTTTTCATCATGCAGCGTGCTTCAACACTAATGAAGATTCCAGCTTGGGGAACTCGATGTGACCCCCTATAACCAAAACAAATTATATTATCACCATGCAAACCAGCAAAGAATTTATAAATGATATTTTGTTTTATAGATACTACCATGAGAAGAACCATTTCCATCGTTTAATGCGTATGCTTGCCAATGAAGTTGTGACAAGAGCCAAATCTCTTGTCAATCATAATATATTGGATAAGTTGGATGAGGTTGGTGAAAAAAGTTTCGACATAACTGATTATTAGTTTTTTGTACCCATTTTCTCCGAGAACGTCGCGGATTAGACACCTTTTTCTTTCTAAATATACAAACTGTCTTGGAGAAGCGTTTAAAGTCTATTGAAATGATAAAATATCATATTAACTATAGGGCTGGAATTTCACTGCATCTTCCGTATCATAATGAAAAAAATACGGAGCTCTCATGGTAAATCTGTTAAAATAGCTGTTCCTGAATAAAGCAATATTAGTACTGGAACAACTATATACCTTAATTGCAGTCACCCATGATTTGGTACTAGAATTGGGAGGAATCAAAATAACTACGGAATATACGTTTACACGTTATCGGCCTGTTTTTCCACACAGTAATTTTTCGTTTCGTACCCGCCCTGGTAAAGCCCCGGCATGTTTACAAGATTGAAGTTATGGTAAATGCGCATGGACATAGAATATTTGCACCTCATATGTAGCTATTCAAAGTGTTATTGAGGTAATCATGTCTTGTATAGAACGCCATGTTACAAGCCGTGACAAGACAGTCAAGTTTCTATGTTGAAACTGTATTAAACTCAGGCCTGGCTATTGAAACTGTATATGTTATACCGGTCACCATGAGTCAGCTTCCTTGTAAATATATAGGGTTGGAGGGAGGCCTGATTGACCTCGGTCAGTGCGTTCGGCACTAGATCTACTGTAATCAGCACGTCGATTTATTTTATGATATAGTCGTTTCAAAGTTTAAAAGATGCCTTACGAATCTGCGCCTCTTTCCGTGGATGTTATTTGGACAAAAAAGACAAAGCTGATGTTTTGAATCAAAAGAAACTTGTGGAAATTCCTGGCTCGAGGTACACCTGTCGTGACTGTATTGCGGTATCCTTCGTTAATGTAAATAGCTATACTGGTCGACTCCTGTCTATAGTTGCATTTTTCACAACTGTTTCTAGTTAGGTCTGATAAAGTTAAAAAATATACACTCGAAATTGCCATCTACATGCAGGGAGATAAAAATCCTGATATTTCCCCAACATTGACATCGCCGTGGTATTTATACATGAACTTGCAGTTAGAGCTCGACAGCTGGCCTCTGTACAAAAGCTCAGTTGGTTAGACGGCTGCACCGGAATTGCAGGGTCGCATTTTCGAATCCTGCCAGAAGGCCGATAATTGTATTTTTCGCAACTGGCCCTGGTTAGGTGTAATGTAGAAAATCTGCAGTCGAAATTTCCATGCAAGTTCAACACCCTTTCATATACTGTATTGAAGCGTTTCTGAGTATAATAAGTAATTAGCCCGACGATTTAGCATTTGCGGGCTTTTTTGTTTGATGCAAAAATACCTGAAAAATAAGAACAAATTTCGACGTTTCGAGCGAAGGTCCTTCGTCTTTCAGAAGATGTGCACTTCATGCTTTATTCATTTATGACTCAAAACTAACGGTAATCGCCACTTTAGTGTCGGCAACAAAATTATCGATATGAGGGGGGAGGGAGGGGGGGGGGGTATATTGATGTCCAATATGCTGCATCAATAAATATAGTGATGTCATCCCATAGAATTTTCTTTCTTGTCCATTACAAGTATCCTGAGTTCACATTTTACCAGTAAACACGAACCTAAAATAAACATGTGTTGTGATTGGCTTCTTGAAACAAAAGTGAACCGTGTTTGTGACTTGTTCTTTGAAACAATATTCTATAGTTTTATTGTTTTTCATTGTAGTATAATCAAGCAATCAAAGAACCTTTTCCTGTAGCTTCGTGATGACCCGACTTTACAGGATGCTTTTCTGTGATGTTGCATGTATATTAATAAACTATCGGCTTATATGGTTTTGCATGCTATCTCAGTTTCTCCCCACATGTGTTTGCTATATATAGTCTGCCTATTCCGTTCAAGATTACTTGTGAAGCATGCATGATTACTATTTTAGCTTGGAGCAATCCGAGATGCAAAGACAAAAGCGTGGTTTGACCGAAAGGGGCGGCAGGTCAAGCAGTTTACGCAAACAGTCTGCAGCTCAACAGATCGCTGAACAAAACATTGACATGTGGACGGACTCACCATGGCCGGCAAGAAATCACCAGGTATTTGGTGCATTGAACAGTTTCATGGAACGATGTAACGACGTCCTAGAACTCGTTCAAACTACAACACATTTCAAGATGTTACGACTTGCCTCGGAGATTGGAGGAGCGGGGGGAACTAACCTGAATAGCTTGGTCGAAGAAATTTACGGTCATTTTCAAGAGGCAATTGAGAAAATCCGAAGATATAATTTGGTAAGGGAAAATCAGAAAATTATTTTTCGAGCGTGGCTTCTTGCAAATTAAATCAAGTTTTATTAATAAGAGATCGGGCCAATATAAGAGTTAAATGATGGTACAGTAATAAACGTTGGCCAAAACTTTTTGTAGGACGTCTTAGAAGTAAACGAGGCTCACCAGTTTGAAAAAGCATTCTTTGCATTCCGTTCTGTTATGAGGGTAAGATTAATTTGTTTGTTCTTGCATCTGTATATGCAGTCGTTAGGCTACACTGTAGCTTTGGGTATAAAATCGCAGGGGGTTGTTATTTTTATTTGTTAACAAGTAAACTATTGCCAAGAAACTTTAAGAATATGTACGTTCCAACAACTTGCTATCTACAACAATTTAACACAACTGCTGTACTTGTTAACAAGTTGTGAGAGGGAATCTCAGCTTGGTAACATGAAAACTTTGGCACAGCTGGTTAAATTAACCAGCTTGTTCAAAGCGAATTTTTGCATCTTTACCGTCGATTGCAGCTATGTAGTCGAGAATACTTAAAACAATCAAATAACACATGAGTATATAATGTTCACGCAAAGCGTACTAATATTCATCATTGGTATTTGCAAGTTTCACTCTAATTGGTTCCTCCAAATAAAACTTTGACAAACAAGTCAAGTTTGTATTGATGCAAGCCTGCAGTAAATACCTTTTGTACAGTATATGTAAAGGTCCACTGAGCACATCGTTTGATTTATGTTTTCAGAGTCTTGAATGTCGTCTTGCTGATGTTTTGCGTCAAAGCTTTAAGCAATGTCCAGACACGGCGGCAAAGTTACGATTATTGGAGGTGTTTGAAGGCACCAGCGGTAGAGAACTTGTACAGGTGAGGCGACTATGTTATATGAATATCTTATACAAAACGGACGCTCGTGATTGAAAAGGTTCGTACACTAAGAATGCTAGTCTTTTATAATCTCAGACATGAGTCTATCAGATATATGCAAGCCCCATTGTTCTCACGATTCCTTTCTGTTTGCGCAAGAATTATTAATGAGAATTACAAACGTATTTGTATTTTATAGGAGAATCTGTTTGATATTTGTGACCTAATGTTGATGCATTTCACTAAAAGTGTTGAAGATTTAAAGGAACACTTTGAACAACGTGTAAACGATCCCCCTGTTCATGTTCATCTACCTCCCATTGCGAGTAAATTGATGTGGTTGAAGGGACTAAAAGCCAGGGTTAATGTAAGTGGATTATTGCTTCATTGATTTTTAATAAAGTGCAAATTGAACATCAATTAACTGCATGTAGTATAAGTTAGTACAGTAAGTATAGTATAGTATAATTTTAAAGAACATCAACTTCCTTGAATGGCAATGGTTGTTATGGGGAGGAGGTGCCCACCCTAACGGATGAGGGATGCGCCCCCCTCCAATCCACAAAAAATCTAGTATGCCCATGATTAGTACAGTAAAGTGAACGTCGAATGAACCCTCCTGATATGTCAATTTGGTATAATGTTTTAAACCACAATAAATTGCTAATCAAGTTCATTGATATTTGATAAGGTGTTCTTTTCTAATATTGACCACTAAAACTTTAGATCATATGCTATATAAAATTAATACTAAATGTGGCGTTTCCCTGACGAAAAGGAGGCTTATAGTAGTTCTTGCCATGCCTACGAATAAATGTCTAAGAGACAATCAGAATATTAATGATGTGCTGATTAGTGATATATTCTGTTATGACAGGAACCTATGTCAAAATTCAGAAAGCTTTCAATTTCCTCATTCAAAGGCGACAAAGGCTGGAAATTACGTGATACGTATAGTGATTTAGTGAAAGATATTGAACGGTATTGTTTTCCTTAAATATAAAGCAAATAATGAATTTTTTCGTTCGTGCAATAGTAAAAATATTTTCATTCGCTGAAAGATGGAGTTTTCCATTCCTCTCGGCTGTCACCTCGTGGAATGGAAAGTTCCATCTCTCACCTCATCAAAATCTTTTTATCATTACACCCATTGCATGAATTAACATTCATTATTTGTGTACTATATATCTAGTGAATCATACCACCATTAGTTTGGTATAAAATAAACTCACATTTCATTTTATTTATTTTCACTTTACTTCTGATCAATTTTATTCACCTCGCTTTACTTCAATTGAAATTTTACTCAACTTCTTTTCCCTTATATGCACTTCATTTTAATTTCTTTTGCTTTGTTGCTTAACTTTTACTTTTATGTTTCACTTCTTTACTTGATCTTGTTTTTTTTCTTTTGCTTCGGATTACCTTACTTTTAACAATAGGCTGTAATTTGCTTTAATTTACTTTAAATAACCTTCAGTTTATTAGTTCTCAAAATTACTTTGTTTTCCTTCATATATTTTTATGCACCCCGAATTTTTTCGATTACCTTAATTACTGTCTATATTATTTAATTTCACTTGTATTCAGGACCGAACTACAGACAATACTAGAGTGGCAAAGTTCCATTCAAGAGGATCTAAGAACCAAGTTGAAACAATCTCTACTAGTACGTTTTTTATCATGGAATTATTGTACATAAATTGTTTGGAATCGAGTGAATATTTTATATTGTGCCTGGGGGTATAGCCTCATAGGGATGCAGTTTACATCCCCGGTGCTGGATAATTTGCGGGATGCAGTGGAACAAAGTTGCCAGACTACGCTAAAGGGGTGGGGACGTGTCCCACTCTTGTTTCTTGCTACTGCTGTCCACTGTCTTTATCACATTAATTTATGAAAACTCTTTATCACATTGATTTATGAAAAGATTTTGAAAACTCCTTGCATTTGTAGATTGAAGTGACCAATAGTGAACAGAACTCTACAACCGTCCAAGTGAACTTAGATCCTGACTTATTGTCTTTATTGAAGGAAGTCTACTATTTAGCTGACCCACCATTCTTGGTGCGACTGCCAGATCCGGCACGGCTTCTATTACGTAGTATAAATGATAGTCTTTTGCGGACAACTGCTGCTAGGTTGGAGACCATAGTATCGAGATACAATGCTATCAACAAGAACATACAGCCCAACGAACTTCCCTTGTTTGAAAGAAAACTTACAAAGATTAACGAGGTTTGTAGAAGTATTGTAATAATTTGGGCAATCCTGCTTAACTGAACTAAAATGTACATGTAAATGAACAAATCATCAATGTAATCATGACGTTTTAGCGTCTGGCGTTATGCAAATTAAGTAAAATAATGAATGGGAATTTTTGAGTGCTGTTAATAGGATAACCAATATTTACGAACAATACGACTCTCTAGAGAGTTTTGTGATACCTGCATGCTTGAGACTTTTTACCATTATATAATATTTAAGAGGAAAGTTCCAGTGTTAGCTTAGTACGTGTACGTGTACGTGTACGTGTACGTGTACGTGTACGTGTACGTGTACGTGTACGTGTACGTGTACGTGTACGTGTACGTGTACGTGTACGTGTACGTGTACGTGTACGTGTACATGTACCATTGATGTAATACGATGATGAAGGCTTAATGACTATTCTATATTGACCAACACGATTATTCCGTATGTTAGCGTGGATGGAGAAACATTCTTGGTATAGATACAGGGTTGGAGATAGTCTAGTTTGCGCATGTTTGCTAGTACATTATAGTGTATTTTATATCATATATATCTTGTGTTAGAATTTTTTTCCGTAAGTACTTTAGATACTGGGATTACTGGAGAGAAAGAGGTGCGAACCACCACTAAATACACTTGACAATGCATATGTAGTGTATAATATTCTTATGGGTAATCTACGAGTTCTGACACTTTCACTTGATCTATATTATAGCTACTAGAGCAAGGTGTTCATCAATACACGTGGAAGACAGCGGAATCTGCAGATTTCGTCGAACACTTGTGTTCACTTGTCTGTGAAGATGTTCATAAGAACCTATGTGTGGTACAAAATAACTACAGAGAGATCAGTAATATTGTGATGTCCTGGTCTCAAGATACCTGCCTTGATGCTTTCTCATCTCGTGAGAAGCTTCGATCATATTGTATTGAGGAACTGAATGCCTTGCACAGGTATTGTACATTGGAAGAGCTTGGGCATGGCTAATCCTACCAAAAACACAGACTGCCAACCAGGTGTAATCATATTCTATGTTTCATGCATGCAGCTAGTGGGTCATTGGACTTACATGGTTAATATAGATCGAACTATTTCTTTATTTTTCATTGTGCAATCAGCTATAGCGTTGTGCCTCACTGAAATTAAATGTTGCTGAAAGTTAAAACTATATAGATGACTGATTTATATCGTTCTCGGTGATTCGAGACGACTTTTGATAGCGTCAAAATGACTTTCCACTTGACAGTGAATGGAATATAAGAGTTCTCTCTTGATGTAAGATGTACTTTATTTCTTAAGGGAAACATATAACGTTACTGAGCATTCCATTGTTGTGGGCGGTCATCGCATTCATGGCTTACTTTTGTCCACGTTTGAGGTAGGTTTTTTTAAATGCTTTGCATGTTTATCTAGGATGGCAAAGACTTTCTTATGTATATTTTTGTGTGCGCATTCACTCATTCGCATCCGTCAGGAAGGGAATATTGCCGACAAAATCGCTATAGTGTAAACCAGGCGTTATGGAGGGTCATCGATTGGTTTCGGGTTGAAAACATGATTAACGATTTCTACCTGAAAATATCTGAAAAATAGATCAATATCTTAAAATAGTAATAGTTAGAAAGAATATATTTTAATTTAATTTTTAATATGATTAATATGGAACTCCATATTAAACTATACGAAACTACTGCAGTAGCATTTTCAGGCTTTTGTTCAACGGTCTAAACTGATCTTCAACGGAGTCAGATTTTATTGACCTCATGCATGCAGTTACCAAATATAATGTGTACTTTTTGTAGGCTGTTCAAATAAGTCGTGCCTCGCCAGCATGGCAGAGTTACATCCAGTGTGTAAGTGAACTGGTTTTGGAAGGTCTGAAAAAGTCAGTACTGGTATCACTCGATGGAATGATGGATGAAGTTAACTGCACAACAAAGGTGTGCAATTTACTGTATAAGCTAGTGTATTAAGTACTTTTTATACTTGGATGTTTATCAACACCTATGGGTACGTAATTTTCTATCGAATAATATGTGCAGGAATGCCTATTTACTGAGAAAGGAATGGGTATGGGGAGGGAATTGTGTAGCCAGCGGTCTAATGATGCATTTCCATTAGATGATTTTGATTGAAAGGAAGAGTACTTTTGCGTAACAAGAAAGGACACTTTGAAGAAATCAGTCAGATGGGGGCCACTCGTCCCATTGTCCAAGTGTTAAAGTATAAACTATTCAATATAAATTGTCAATTTAATTATTGAGTAAAGAATGATTTCTTTTTGTAAGACACAGATTTTTCAAATCCGTTGACAAAATGCTCTCTCTGCATGCAAAGCCTTGTGGGCGTTCAAAAATCTTAACATGAAGTTTCAATAAAACCGTTAAATACATTAAGATTTTGTTGGCATCTCACTCGATTGAATAATAGTTGAAGGGTATTGTAGATGGAAATTATCGGGTGGAAATTTATATATATTTATTAGACCTAACTAGGAACAGAAGCGAAAAAATGCAACGTGTTAGGTCCCTGGCAGGAATCGAACCTGCGACCCTATCTTTACAGACCCATGGTTCATAATCTTGTCAATACCTTACCATGCATGCAAGGATTTACTTTTATTCGTATTAAAATCTAGTGTAATTCCTGCAAGTTCTCGCGGATGTTTGCAAGATCGTGCGTATATACTGTAAGTGGGCACGTTCTTATCAAGATCGAGTCATGTGCTTGCCATGACATTGCCAATATCTTCCAAAAAATCCTGCGTGCAGTCCTTGCAGGATCCTGCATGCAATATCTTACCATTATCCTGCCAAAAACCTGCCATGATTTCAAGCCATGATCTTACCAAGTTCTTACCAAGGTTGTGGCAATTCTTTGGGCCCATAGACCTTCTTGAAATATCCTTTACAATTTTGTCATATATTCTGGTTCATGAATTTAGGAAAACGATGATTCGACACCAGTTCTTACAATCAGACTTGAGTTATCTGGCTCACAAGTGGTATTTCACCCGAAACTTGATGAAGATGACGCAACATCCAGTGTGCAAGAGTATGTCGAAGGTTGGATCGAGGAGTTTCTGAAGCGTGCAGATATGGTTAAACCATTCGAACCAGGACTCAAGGTTCGTATCCCAGTTTTAAATTGGGAATTTTAATGTTTTGGATTTAAATTTTGGTGCAGGAACTGTGTTCAATTTCGTTGACTTTTCGCGAAATAATTATAGCTGCGTATTCTTTTAATACGTTTTCTGTCATTTGGAAAGTACTTTCCAATGAACGCACCTACATAATCATGAGTTTTTCTTATACATAAAGTAAAATGCATCTAAATGTGTGCGTTTTGGTTCACACTGTCTGATTAATATACTAAGCTAAAATTTATTATCCCAGATAAATAGATCCGGTTTTCACAAGGATTTCTAATCACTATTTATTACATCATTTATAGACATATCACACTCTCATCACTGACATCAGTGAAGTGCAGGAATTGATGACTTCGATCAAAGATATCGTTAGAAACAATGGGATTCAGTGTCAGGTTTGTTCATCCGATTGTCTATGGATACGTTGCCGAATTGTCGGGAACACATGGTCATCTAGCTGTATACTTGTGTATTACTGTATATGTTGACTTTCTCACACGGGCTGGGTGGAAAAAACCTTCTTTCTTCTTTCTTTCTTGCTCTCCATAAGCACTGGCTGCTGCAAGCATGGTTTAACATGCCTATAAAGATGAATTGTTAAACTTATTGTGAGACATGTGTGCATGTTAGGTTTACCTTCAAATTTTTAAGTTACAAATCTTCAATCTAAAAATCCTGTTGCTTTTCAAAAAGTTCCTGCGAGCTGTGCTCGAGTGCCCGACTATTTTTCTCACCTCTGCTTTCTTATGTGATGGTGCGAACCTTGTTCCTGTATTGTTTTCCTATATGCAATTTATTACAGAATTACTAACTAGACCCTTATGTTTGCTTGCACAGAACATGCTCGGAACATTCCGCCAATATGCTTTTCTTTGGATGCAAGATGTCGAGAGGACATTTAAGGAATTTCTCGCTGGAAATATCGTTGCACATCCCCGTGGTATGTCAGGCGCCGAAATATTACGATCAGGCGCATCACTAACGTCTCAGAGAGCAAAAAGAGACAAAGGAACTCGAACGTAAGTTGTTTTCGGTTTTTATATAAACTAATAATACATACATACATGCATGTATATGTAACAACCCCTCACCCTTAGCAGCCATACAGCTAATGAACTTGTATTCCCAAATATTCGTAGAACATGAAATATCAAGAATTAGGAAACCATGCACTGACCGAACGATAGTGGCGATATCTCAAAACATTTTATAAAGCTTTAATGAAAAGATTACATTTAACTTTTGATTTACTATTACCGAACTACATTATGTAATGCACGTTTGTTATTAGGCATTCTATAGGTTTGTGTTTATTAAAACGAAATTTTACCCTACGTTTTTATTACTGAGCTAGTGTAGCAAGGGCACTTACTGTATATATGCGATGGTTCACGTTTCCGCATCTGCATGCACGAACGGGAATTTTAACACACAGTGACTGAAGAAAAGTACTTACCAGTTCATACCAATAAAGTGGCCAACATCTATATAATTTTTCTTTCAGTTCTAGTGTACACACTCCCGGTGCTTATTCTCTCGATGCCAGTGGAGCTTTAGGTTTGTCAGAGAAGACCTTTCTCAATGCAAATAAACATAGTGTAGAGAGCGAAGTGGAAACTGCAACCGTTCCATCTTTAGACGACTTTGACAAAGAATTGGAAATATTTAGAGTAAGTTAAAATATTTTTTATGATAGGTTATGTATGCATGATAAAAGGACATACTGCGAACGAATACCAATTGCGTTTGAAGAACAGTGATTTACCGAAATGTTTGAATCATTTTAAGGCATTGTCATGTAATGGCATCATGCTATAAAGGCCATTTTGAATGTTATCAATGCAAGTATTAATAAAGTAAAATTGGATTTTCCAATCTACTCATGATGTTGATGGCAGGCTGCAGTTAATAAATATAATAAATAATTATATTAATTTAAATATTTTTTAGAAATATGTTTACATATGATTTTTTTGTACAGGCCAGTCGTGACGAAATTCGTGGTCTCCAGGATTGGTGTGATATTGGTTTCACACGGGTCAACGTGCGTCCTATCAAACAAGTTTTGCAAACGTATGCCAGCAAGTGGATGTTTACGTACACTAAACATTTATCTGATCAGGTAAATATAGCGATATTTTAAAGGTCTTAGCTGGATTATGGTGTTGGTGAATTTGGTGTTGTTAGATATGGTGGTTACGCGGGGATACTGTAGCACAGGATTTCTTTGGTGTAAAGGCTAATGAAGTTGAATGTTGCAATACATTGACGGACCATTATGCCTCAATAGTTGTTTTCCTGTTTCTTGTTGACCTTTGACATTAAATACTTAATAGTCCTTAAATATCTCTTTGTGGCAGGGAAAACTGCTACGTCAGCAGTTAATCAAATTATCTACAAATACTGTACTTGCCCGCATTTTCGGGAAAAGCCCCTTTAGGACAATGAAGGAAAATTAGCCAGTCAGGTTACCAAGCAACTGACCATGACGACATGATTTATTTCGCCTTACTGCTTGTTTACAATATTGCTGATCGAATATGTGGTTATGTGGCTATAGTGATAGTAAAAGGCATCATCAATACGCGTCCATGCATGCAGCTATATATAGTCAAAGCCAGACTGCTATAATTGGAGTATATACCTGTGGTTGGAGGGTGGCATCATAACTGCGATGAATGTGCGATGCCTGTGTCATCTATTGGCGCACAACATTTTAAAAAGAATAAATTATAGACAGTCTGGTTGATTCAACCAGGATATCCTGGTCAAATATAACCTGATTCCTGGTTACATTTTCCAGACTGTGGTAGAAAATGAGATAAAATAACCAGGGATATTAAGTTAACCCAAATTGGGGTTATTTCTATTTAACCAGCAAAATTTTAACCATGCAGGTGTTTTTATATAGAGTGTGTAATAGTGATTATTTTTTTCATGTAAGGTGTTTTAGAGTGCTATTTTGTTTCAGGTGTCTAACATCTTAAATGATTTGGACTCCTTTCTCAAACGTATCGAACCAGGAGTTGAAGCGATTACTGGGGAGGAGAGAGATATCACATCGTTTATGCGATTAATGCGAATATTTAACGAGGTACAGTATGTAATTTGCAATCTTTTCAAGATTAATTTAAAAGCTATAGTAATGAAAGAACGCCAGTATATTTTTATTATTTTATCACCGTTTAAAAGTTATTGGTTTACTATATATTATTGGGGTCATAGGCCAAGGAGAATTTGTGTGCGGGTTGTGTATTAATTTTTCGTCAAGCAGTGCCCATGCATTCAAACGTTTCGCTTTCGGCCCGACAAACATCTAATTAAGGCCGAGATAAATACTCCAACATTGACTGCATGGAGATGACCGACCCATTATTCATTTTTCATTATTCTTTTACTTATGATACTGAGATATTAAATCACATTAAATTTAGTACATGCATGTACATGGGAAAGTCACATTTTTAACTCAATTTTTTTGTGAATTACATTTAGCTTAGTTTAGTTTAGTTTAGTTTTATTAGTTTAGTTTAGTTTAGTTTAGTTTAGTTTAGCTTAGTTTAGCTTAGTTTAGTTTAGTTTAGTTTAGTTTAGTATAATGAAAAAATTACAAATAAATACAGGACAGTCAGGACTATACCATCTTACAATCCACAGAAACAGTGCATGAGACTGAGACCTAGAATCCAGGCCAAAATCATTGTGGATACCAAAACAGTATATTTATTAATACGTTAATGATATCATGGGATGGATCACTTTTCATTGGTTGGTTAAGAAACGTGTGAATCGTTGGTCTTGACCCCACCTACCATTTTTTGGCAGTCATTGCCCAAAAGTAACTGGTTATACATTTCGGCAACGATTGCCGGAAGCTTTGCGTCACCGTTCGCAGATCATGATACTCTACACGAAATTTCCCTCTTGAGAGAAATTCACCCTTGTACCATCACCAGATTAAGTTATTAATAAAATGCCGTTATTTCCTGGTTGATGCTACATTTCTCTGGGAAGGGAGATGGTGTTTTACTTTGGGATATGATCGATGTATGCACTGCACCAGAAAATTTTCTCCCCGTCAACTAATTGTCTACGATCAATGACCTGGTATACTCATAACCATATACTAGCTATATATCTTTCGGTTAGATCAATACTCAGCAAGCAGAAATGGACAGCAAGTTTGTCGCAATGAAGAGATCCATTAATCTATTAGAAAAGTACGATCAAAAACTTCCTGACACCACGCAGAAATTTTATGCTGCTGCACCACAAAAGTAAGTCTTCGATATTTGTTGAATTTTGACATCTAGTAGTATGGACTGAGCAGAAGATGCAGATATACAGTATCAATATACTCGATGACCAGCTTTTGATAGTCACGATTTCGTTAATTCGTTTTCTTCATGAGCTATTAATGAATTTAAGTGTTCGGGAATGAGTCAGAAAATATCATCACTGGCGGTATTCTACCGCATCTAACGCATTCTACCGAGTGGAACATGTAGGAAACAAACATACAAGGAGATGCTTAAAATTCGGTGGACTTCATACATAATTAGTTATTTTTTGCATGTGTGCAAATCAAGTTCACATTTTAAGAACTGTTTGGATGTAAAAGAAACTTTGTATTTCTTAAGATGGAACAACCTGAAAATGAAAGTCGCTCAAGCCAAACAGAGACTTGGTCCTCGGATACAATCTGAAGAGAAGAGTGTAACTGCTGTGAGTATAATTTGTCATCTACGTAAAACTAAGTGTTTCCGACCGAACCGCATCGTATTTTGCGAACACTAATCTGTATTATATAATGCCTCATAACAAGTTAGCACCACAAAGATGGTTAGGAAAAATGAAGAAAAAAATTTGATTAACCTGCATTTATTGTATATATACATGACAAAATTACTGCAATCTGATTGGTTAAGAGGAGTGCAATTTTTTCTTTAATTGCACTCACCAGTTGTGCAATTAACTATTTGAAAAAACAAAGAACACTTTACATTATCGTTTGAGTTTTATTGCTACTTTAGCAATTCTCTATAAAACAGTTATTAATGGAAGATGTAAAAGTGTCAACATTGTCAATGAGTAAATCCATGCAAGCAAACTTATCACCGTTAAAGTTTAAAACTCACACAGTCATGGATAATATAGTGGTAATATACTGATACTGGCAGATTTACACATTGTATCTTTAGGAACTTGATGCGTTTGGAAAACGATGCGATCTTCTTGTTCGTGAGTTTATGGCATCCGAAGCTTTCAAAAGAAAATGCTTGATCTATACGGCTTTTAATATAATGGATATGTACGAGAAAAGGATGAAGATACTTGAAAATGAGGCTCAGGTTAGAACTAACAAATTGTTTTATCTATATCATTTGTATATACATGTTAGTTGTGCTAGTTGTGCATGTAGGCCTAATATGTGGGTCACGAAGCGATATGTACAGTGAGGGTCAAAATCGGCCCGATACCGATTATCGGTTAATCACTAGAATTGTTTTCCTGCATGTGTTTTTAAGTTCTAAGTGAGTATAATAATTTTGGTCGGATTCCAACCGTTAATTAAGAGAATAATAGAATATTTTTATGGTATGATCCAGCCAATTCAATTCAGAGGAATTCATGAAAATTATTGGATGACGCAGAACGTCATCTTGTACGTTTTACCTGCATAATTTATACTCGCTAATGATATCGCTGATAGATCAGTTTGTTAGTTCTCAAGCTGGATGTATAGTGGGTTTAATCCCGGCTGGTCAACTTTGAGCCTTAAATAATCGAGAGAAGAAGCTAGGTCTGTGCTCGAATTAGATCTAACATTGCATGGCTTAAAATAACGGCCGGTCAATGGACAATGACCGGCCAAAAATGACTCTTGACCGGTCACTTTTTTACCTCACCGGTCATTTTGACTGGCCACATTTTCATGCCTTCTAATGTGATTGCTGACGTCTTGAATTAAAACATGAAACTACTGTATGATATATCGAAACCATATATAGATATCTTATATACACTAGATAGTGCATCTAATTATTCTGCAATTCAAAAATTGAAGCCGTGATTGCAGACTCAGGATATTCCCATGAAATGAGAAGACTAGTATGTTTTCTATTTCTTAAACAGGGAACTTAAACATTAAGTTAAACCTATTCCAAATACATTTTCAAACTATTCAAATGATGAAAGTTATTGTTTTTTAAGCGTTTATTAGCGAGTGGGAAACTCCAACATGGCCGCCATCTATTCAAATGGGGGTAACCGCTGGAATATTCTTGGCTTCAATTTTACTAAAAGAGATGCGCTATCTAGTGTATATAAGATATCTATGATCGAAACAGGTTTCTGATAGTTTGTTTCACTGTTAATGTTTGTGTTAGTGTTAGTGTTAGTGTTAGTGTTAGTGTTAGTGTTAGTGTTAGTGTTAGTGTTAGTGTTAGTGTAGCGTATATCATGCAATGACCGGTGAAAAACAAATTTTGACCGCGCTAAAATCAAGTTGACCGGAGACCTATCTTCCGTTATTTTGCGCCCTGCATTGGTTAGGTCTTTCTGCGTATATGTGGAAGTTAAACCATTTCAAAACCTGCATATGGACACGGAGAGACCCTTGCAAGAAATCGTAAATATGTATTTTTCATAGGATTTGATTGAGCTGCAAGAACTTCTTGAGAAGAATATCGTCAACTTCTCTGTTTTGCCACAGTAAGATGTTTACCTACTTATTATGTTTGTACCAAGCAGTAGAAGGGCCATTTACATGCACAAAGTGGTGTTAACATTGAGCGCATGACCAATATTTAATGATACATAGATGAGCATTTAGATAAATTATATTATTTTTTTCTTCATAATTCACGAATTATATGTGTCAACCAGAAATGAGGACAATGCATTCAGTGAACAGTATTAAATATGTACTGGAACACAAAATCAGGTCGATTTTGAAGAGTAGGATATCGGAAGTGGATATCAATATTATTGCACTCGTGTTCATGCATATTTTGAAAGTATTCTTTTAAGAGGAATTGTGACTTGGAGAAAATAGAAAATATAAGTTTTTCTTACTGCCAGTATTCTACTCTATCTTGAGAAACTCGGGTATCCAGGTAAACGGGTTTGAATTAACCTCTTTTATTTGTTGTTTACACTCTATAGAGTTGACTCTGATTTAGAATGCCTTCGTGAGGTGTGGAACATGCTTCGGTAAGTGCAAGAATATTTCTCGAAAATCCTGGAAATTCTAAGAGATTGAAAGACACTGTACTTGAATGTTCTGGTTTTCTTTGTCCTTGAATTTAAATTGGTGGAAAACTGGTGGTTAGAAATGAATTAGAATTCAAATTGGTGGAAAACTGGTGGTTCTAATAGTCGGATGAATATGGTCACAATTAGATTTGGGAAAAAAAGTAGTAAATCCTATATATTTGATGATATCTGTACTTCCGGTTTAGAATGCTAATTTCAAAAACTACCAATTAATTGGGTAATGTCTCGCTCTATTACATGTTAAATTTTCAAATATTTAAATTGTTGCATTTTTGAGTTAGATATGACTATTTTTGTAACAAACCGAAAAATGGTGTTCTAAAACATTTTACGAGTACCGTATTTCAGCATATATTTGCAATTTAAAGGTCCGTGCAAGAACAACAAAACGACTGCAAACGGCAACGTTGGCTTAAGTTAGATACGAAGCTTCTTCACAACATTTTGGATGAGCAATTAGAGCAAGTGAGCTCACTGCCATCTCGTAGTCACAGCTGGGATGTTCATATTGGAATGTTGGATTCCATCATTGATATGCAGGTACGTCTTTTTCGTTCACTGACAGGGAATATTTCAAGAGTGCAAGAATGAGACTCGCCGCTTGACGATACATTTTTTAGTGGTGCTCGTAACAACTTGTAACGAACAGACTGTATTAGTCTTGTTGGAACAACTTGTAGCAAGTGTGTTATCAAGTTATTTACTAATGGGTTTATTGTCTCTTTTTGTAGGCGTGTTTACCCATTGTAGAAGATTTGCAAAAGGCGGCATTACGCCCTCGTCATTGGAAACAGCTGTTGCGATTGGCTGGAGAAAACGTCCACGTGGTTGCAAATGATGGTCTAGTCAAGATGTCTTTGGGGCAGCTCATTGAATTTGGACTTCATCGTAAGTGCTACTGTATAACATTATGGTCGAATTTAAGTTTAATTTAATACCGTTTACTAGTTTAAACTGAACTTTGTCTGAAATTCTTTCGAAATAAATTTATACCAAAAGAGATCTGATCGGATAGTAAAAGTGCATGTTCAAAATCGATAGAATACATTACTACATAAGGAGGCCAAACACGGCTATCGCGGAAAACCCTTTTATTTATTTGTAGTTCTTTATTTACTTAGTTATTAATTTAATTCGCCCACATTACATAGTAGTTATTTACAAAGATTTTGCCATGTGTTATAGTTCATAACGTGTTATTTAATGGTATTCGACGTGTGGAAAAATGCGATATTTTTATTAGACAGATTTAGATTGAGGACCGGACGTCAAAGACGACGCGAAAATGGCGTGTTGTGCCCATGTATGGATATGCCACGCCATTTTGACGCCATTTTCACGTCGTCTTTGACGTCCGCGTCCTCGATCTAAATCTGTCTAATATTTATACAGGGGGGGGGGGGTCTGCGAAATATTTAATAGACGTTAAGAGGCAATGTGTGATAAGAGGCAACGCAAACCTCCGCAGTGGTTTCCGTGCATTTTCCATGAGTTTACCGTGATTTTCTGTATTTTTGTGTGAGGAATCGCTGACGAGTGTCATCTCATGCGCCCACAAACACACTCCTCAGCGGTTTATCGCATAAAAATCACGGAAAACTGATGGAAGAATATATGTAATTTGATACTTTACCTACTCCCCCTTGGGCAGGGCGCTTATATAGAGGGCGGTGAAACGGCAATAGGCGCGCCGACATGGAACCTCTGCGGAAGAAAGAGTGTTCGTTTTATCACATAATATAGTGTATTTTGTATAATTTTCTCGCACTTATATAGATCACACAGACGAAGTACGCACGATCATCCAGAAAGCGACAAAAGACGTTGCTATTGAAAGTTCACTCAAAACGTACGAAGAAGTTTGGCTAAGTAAAGTCTTTGAACTGAAACGCTACAAAAAAGCAAGAGTTTCCTCAGCGGCAATGGTTACAGGAAATCAAGAGGTTTGACTTTTATCTAAAATTTGCTTTAAATAATCTCGCATTGCAATTATTAAGTTTTGCTTAGTTATGAATTCGCAGCGGTTAAATTCCCTCGCATCCTAAATTACAAGTTCTTTTTGTGCAGTTTAAAATTCGTCCATTTTCACGGGGCAGTAACAATTTCAATCGTGTGTTACTAGAACTAACATTATTTGCAAGAAGTAACATTATTTACTAGAACTAACATTATTTGCATTATTTGGAATTTATTGAAAACTGTATTGATCGAGGCACCTGGTTTATGAAG